TGCTGCTAAGACAATGGACGTTGAAACTGCTCCAGAGTTTGTGTATTTAAACAACGGCTGCCAACAGGCTGATTGACTAAAATATAATTTTACTTACAATTGGAGACAATGAGTTCTGTTGATGTTGCCATCCACGAGTGACATAAATTATGTAACACTTGCACAACACAAATAACTGTTGAAACCACCCGTAAAGAGATGAGTATACATATATTAATATTATAACTCGGTTCAAGTTCATTTCAAGTTCAAGTTAATTTACTAGGTATAGCCCTGTGAGCCATTCGGCTCTCGGTAGTGAATATCCACATCCATCAGTCTATTAGTATTCCAGACCAATATAATCCTGCAGCATTTTTTAAAAAGCAATCGAACTCTGCACTGGTTTAGAACGTATGGATCTCATCAGCATTCAGGCTTGTAAAATAAATGCTGCTGGGTTGCCAGATTCTATTAGCAAACGCACTGCATGAAGAGACATCTGATACATAAAAAAAAGTAAATTGGCAAGTGAGTGTTCTGTCTGGTGAAACTGTTTGCATATGTGTGATGTTGTAGACTTAGAAACCCAATATGTTTGCGATCGACAGTAGGATAAATTAATGGACTCGTTCAAATTAAAGCTTACGACTCAATCACCCTGAATGTGCCCGATCGCGTCAGATGTCAGAAGCTAAGCGATCTTGAGCCTGGACAGTGCTTGGATGAGCGAGCGCCCATGAGTCGCGCGTGTTTTAACCCGTCGTGTGGCTACTTTGTCAGCAGATGGCAGTGCAGCAAATAAATAGTCGCTGCTGTACTAGATCTTCCATGGCTGATATGTAACGAGTGTGCTGTTGCTCAGGAAGGGACTCAAATAGGAGTTTGTGTGCACGAATGCTACGATTGTAGTGATGTCCACTAATGACTCCATTTATTGAACCAACAGCTACCACATTTGATTCAATCAGCATATCCTGTAGTACTGCTTCTTTGAAACGTTTGCCTATCACTGCCATAAAGGACATGGCTGTGTGGAACTCACCTTAATCGAGCTTGATCGCCGCTATCAGATGAAGCTGCACTGCTTACGTCCTCCATGTTTACATGTGCGTAGTGATATTGGCTTGATTTTGGCTCAAACCTACTTACATTTTCGATGCCGATTGGTTGAAAATCTAGCTCAACAGTTTTATATGTCTCAATACGCAGTCAATATAGTGCGCCAATAAATTACACTTTTCTCAGTAACTGCAGGATAATGCGTGGAGAACGTTTTGCTTGGATACCTTTTATTAACGTTGAACATATTGAGCAAAAGAAAAAGTAGTGCCCCGTTTGTCGGAACGAAACTGAACGATACAGCTCACGTACAGCGGCCTATATGGTCCTACTCGTAGATGCCCCCTGCCCTCACCAACCGCCACTAGCCAGTGTAGTTGGAAATTTGATCGAGTAAGCCTCCACGACCCGTATGGCGAGGAGAGGCCCTTACTTTATTGTTTAGCTTGACCAACCATGGAGCATTGACCTTCCGATACGGCAGAGGAAAACGAGCAGCCTCCCACAAGGAAGCGTGTGTGTATGGATGTATGTTGAACTTCTTTCGCACGGTACGTAGCCAACCGTACTAATCGGAGGTGCGGGGGAAGGACAATAAACGTAAAAACATAATGCAGTTTTAAAGAACTAAACATTCAATATAGATATACACGTATATAGCTCCAGTGGCTTCTTAATATCGGAAGGAAAATCTTTTAGACGGCCGCAGAAGCGGATCTGAAAGCGCTTGTTTTAAAGATCGCCGAATTCTTTGAATCCTTGCCATCAAATTCGGAATAAATCACGATAACCGCCTCTGGCAATGACGTGTGGGTGGTGTCAGGCTCCGTTGGGATGTGTATGCAAGAAATTAATGTTGGCACTACAGTGATCATACCCGTGTACATTGTCAATTTCCTGATGGTTTATTTAGCCCCCCCCCTCCCACCAGAGTAGACATCCTCCCTGGTGCGTTCCGTAATTTGGCTGCCACTCCATGGCTCGTCTCGACCACCGCCCATCATCCCTTTCGGCAAGGTTTCCTGCCCAAGGTCACTTTACCCTCACACCTCGACTGACCTATACACAACCATCCTGTTCTCAAAGTCGCTCAGCCTCATGAAGTCATCATATACCATACTGTCCTGGGCCGTCTCGTTGACAGCTCGTCGTCACGAGCACGTGGTGCCACACCGAGAATTAACCAATATAGACAAATGTGGTCTAATTTCGGAAGGTCGGTTGGTCAACCTTCGAGAAACAAACGTGTATGGCATTTGCGTTAATGAACAGAGTGAAAAAGTTACAACGAAGCCGATGGCGGCCCCGTAGCTTCACATGAACAAGTGACGTCCTGCATGCACGACGTCACTTGTTCCCACGAGCCGGTTACTCTTGGAAATCCACGTCGTTTACGATCAATGAGTTTAGAAAGGTCTTTAATATCGCCCTATGCTAACAATGTACATTTAAAAGCTGTCGTAGTTATTTTATATTGGCAGATCCATACACGATTACTCACCGACGACTCTCATGCACGGTACACAGTAAATTTCGATGTAAAGCTTCTTTCGTGACTGCAGGGATTCATCTTCTTTGTTCTTTCGGTAAAGTCACGTAGAAGGGAAATAATAAAATAATAAAAATAAAACATAATGAAATAATTCTCACGACGTTTCGGCCACAACGCAAGCAGCCGTCCTCAGGTGAAGACCAGGTCTGTCGGGGAGACAGCGTCTGAATGAAACACCACCACGCTTGGAGCGTTTATTTAAGCTTAGAGTCGCGGCTTAAATATACGCTCCAAGCGTGGTGGTGTTTCATTCAGACGCTGTCTCCCCGACAGACCTGGGTCTTCACCTGAGGACGGCTGCTTGCGTTGTGGCCGAAACGTCGTGAGAATTATTTTATTATGTTTTATTTTTATTATTTTATTATTTCCCTTCTACGTGACTTTACCGAAAGAACCAAGAAGAGGTACACAGTAAGTCCACGCAGTTGTAACTCAACTCACGTGCCCATTGCCACGTATCCCCAGGGGTCCACGTACCCCCGGTTGAGGGCCACTGCTCTAGACAGGCCCCTCTGGGGGGTATTTTGGCTTCATCTTCCACGCTGGCGTCTTGGAGGAGTTGAGAGGACCCACATTTTACCCTACCACACACTCGACCCGCCTATCATAAACGAACCGTCGTGAACTCATGTGAGAGGGCTTTGTAAGTGCCGCGCCGGGAGATACACCCGGCGTGCTTTCGATTACTTGAATGATCGGCAAAATTGTTTGAGCCAAAAAATATATTTAAATTGAATCCCCTTGTGTTTCGTTTGTTGTCCTTCCCCCGCACCTCTGATTAGCACGGTTGACTACGTACGGTGCGAAAGAAGTTCAACATAGTACATGCACAGACTGATGACACGGTTGCTGAACTAAAAGCTTCATTGTAATAAATACAATCTAAGGCAAGGGAAACGTCGACCAAGTTAGGCTGGGTGACTGGCGAACACATAAATTAAGTGTTCTATTATATGTGAATGGATTTAATTAAGTTGACATTGGCTACATGAAACGCTTTAAAACTGCGTGTCTATAATAGCAGTAATAGACAACCCATCGTTAATCACATGCAAGAGAACACGGTAATGCTGTACACAATGTAACCCATCTGCAAAGCCCCAACTCTCGCCCCGTGGCTGCTCTCGAATTTCAGAACAGCATTAATTGTTCATAAATACTCAGGCGAAGCAATGAGTTTCAGATTTAAACATTCAGGATATCACAATTTCGCATTTCAAGGACAATTTCAGATCCTGAAATATCCTCGTGCTAACAACAGTGTCGTGACATCATTTTTTGGCGGGGAAAAACGGCAAAAAAAAGTAATGTCACGTTTCGGATAATCGTGGGAAATGGTTATTTCCTGTATTTGTTTCTATCAATCCGAAAAACGGGAACACATCGCTACTGTGACCTACATTATGTCTCTGAGCAAGGAAACGAGTAAAAATGCCACAAATTTGCCAAAGCAATGAGATTTCTTTTTTTTTTGGAATTATCCGAAAAAGACGAATACAATATAACAGGGATACTGATGGTGCTGTGAACACAAATAAGTACGAATTAAACAATACCATAGCTGACAATGTAGCAAATATGCTAATTGCTTAAACAAATAAACTGACATGGAAATTGAGCTTTGTGACGTCGGGAACACGGTAGTCACGTGCTGCGGCCGATGGTGGCAGCACTTAAATGATAAATGAGGTCAATACTGATGATCGCGAGTGACCCGGGAATACAGATGTGTATCGTTATCAAATATAACGAGGTCAATCTAAACTACGATGAGATTAATAAAAGCAAACGCTGTAAGAACGAGTTGCATGTGGTCGTAGACTTGCTCTTTAATGAGGGCCACGTGCAGTGCGATTCGATTGTCTGGCCTCGCCAGAAGAAAGCAGTACAGCAAGCGGACTAATCACCCAGCCACTCACTCTCACACAATCACTCACTCACTGATGTTGAGTGAGTAATCACTGAGTGAGTAATCACTCACTCAACATCCACTCACCTACGCATCCACTCACCCACCACCTCTCACTCGCTCACCCTTTCTTCCCTGCAAACCACTCAGCCACTCTCTAATCTGCTCGTCTTCTCACTCACCTATCCACTCACCTGTACACTCACCTGTCCATTCACCTGTCCACTCACCTGTCCACTCACCTGTCCACTCACCTAAAATTTCACCCACTCCCTCATCTACTTGTTCACCCACACTCTCACTCACTCACTCATCCACTCACTCACTCACTCATCCACTCACTCACTCATCCACTCACTCACTCATCCACTCACTCACTCATCCACTCACTCACTCATCCACTCACTCACTCATCCACTCACTCACTCATCCACTCACTCACTCACCCACTCACCCACCCACTCGTCTACCTGCCCACTCATCCCCCTCCCTCCTCACCTCGTGTCCACCCATCACCGCGCTGCACAGTGCACGGATGGGCTTGGCCAAGGTGGCGAGCGTCAGGTGAGCCATGGCCAGGAGAGCCGAGAGGGCGATCGTCAGCCGCTCCCACGGCACCATCGCCCCGTGCCGCCGCGCGTCTCTCCGCATCGACCTCGCTCCGAGTAGCCGTGACCTTGGGTGGAGGAAGCGCAGTGGAAGATTGCCGGCCGAGTTGTCCGTGTGTCTGCTGATGATTTGGGCTATATTTGCCGTTTTGTGTCTATTTATCCGCAGTGTATGTCTATGTATCGAAATGCCTAATTGAATTGGTTTATCTAGCTATTTGCGTGCCTATGCATTTGTTGTGTTTATATACTGCAGTAATTGACTAATGTTTTGTCTATTTGATTGTGCTCTTCTCTGTCGCCCGATGGTATATCTGTCTATTTGTCAAGCGATTTCTTGATCAATGTATTCGTCTATTAGTCGACGTGTCCTGTGTGTTCGCCTGTCTGCGCGTCTACAAGTCCGTCTGTGGCGTCAAGCGCATGGCCCCTGAATGCGATCCTGGCCGTGCCGCATTGGCGCACCGCCTTCTTCACCACGCGCACTCATACAGTACATGCGCACACCCACACGTCGACAAAGACAAAGGTCCCCCGTATAGCCTCAGCAGACTGATGGGGCAAGTGCTGTTGGCGAGCACCTACTCAACACACACGCCACACGTCACACACAGACACACACAGACACACACACAGTGACCCAGACTCGCACACGCATACACAGCAAAGGTCCCCCGTATAGCCTAAACAAACTGTTGGGGCAAGTGCTGTGAGCGAGCACCTACTCAACACACACGCCACACGTCACACACAGACACATTCACACACACTGACCCAGACGCACACATACACAGACAAAGGTCCCCCGTATAGCCTCAACAGACTGTTGGGGCAAGTGCTGTTAGCGAGCACCTACTCGCACACACAGCACACACACACACTGACCCAGACAAAAAAAACTAAGTTCCCCCGTATAGCCTATAACAGACTGTAGGGGCAAGTGCTGTTAGCGAGCACCTACGAAGGCCGGAACGATACACGAGGGGGTGGGTGGCCAGCAGCACCACGCTTGGGTAGAGGTCGTGGCGCCGCGATTGGCAGGGAGTGAACGGCAACGACGCATCGCGTGAGCGGACATGAAGGCGGCTGGCAAGGTGGAGACGCTGGGCTGGGAACAGGAGTTGGGGGGGGGGTAATGGGGTTGGAGAGGGCTGCTGGGGGTTAGGGTAAGTTGAGAGGTGGAGTGGCGGTGGGGAAAGATTGCAATTGGAAATGTGATCACCAACTCACCCCACCCACCCTCCACCTCGACCACGTGTTAGATGTCGTGCGTGTTATGTGGTTGTTGTAGGTTTGTGGTTGTGTGTGAGCGGCGGTGTAGCGGTTAGCGCGCTGCGCTACGAATCCAGCGACCCGGGTTCGATTCCCGCTCGCAGCCAACACCAATGACGATTATCTGAACCGGTCCTGGGCCTCCCCCCCTCTGTCGACTCGGCCTAAAATGAGTACCTGGTGTGGTGTGTAAAAACATCGCCACTGGGGAGACAAAGGCGGCCGGGCGTGGTGCTGGTCACCCACCCCCTCGTGTGCCGTTCCGGCCTTCATCGGTGTTCGCGAACAGCACTTGCCCCAACAGTTTGTTAAGGCTACACGGGGGATCTTTGTCTTTGCGTGCGTACCTGAGTTTCGCAGTTACCCGATGGCAGCACTTGCTCCAAAGGCTACACGGGGGATCTTTGCCTTTTTTGTTTCCGCCTGAATGTGGTTTGGTGTACGTGACCGCAGTATGTGGACGTATGTGTGTGCGCGCGGTCGTGTGTTGGTGTTGTAATTATTCGTCGTACTTTTGGGTCCCTGACCCTCTGTTCGCGATCATCACGGACATTGATTATTGTGGACAGGCTTCGGGTAAAGCCGCCGTGGCGAGGAGTCCGAGCCATATCCCTGTTCACCTTCTGGTGCAACAGGGAATATCCTACACCCCCACGCACTTTCACAGTGTTTTGACCACATACAGTACCGGAGTTCGACAAGCCGCCCATGGTTGTACCAGAAGGATTTACATCTGGTACAGATGCAATGAGAGGCGATCAATATCCATGTGAGGTCGAGGGATGGCAACGGTGTGGGGAGGAGGTGGGGGGGGGGACATTGTGACATCTATCAATGTATGTGTAGTGTCTTGTAAAATCACTCAGCCGGACACGTTGTTACAAGTCACCTGCTTACACTTGATGACTCTACTCTGGCACCAGTTGTAGGCACTGGCGTTGCGCGTAAGGGAGAATCGCCAGGTTCGTAACACAAGGCGCTAATAGCTACACTACAGCTCCCCAAATCTGGTCTCATAACACCTGCCCACCGGATTATAAGATGCAGCGCCAGCTTTTACTTGAAAACATTGGGGAGAAAGGGCGAAAGTGCGTCTAATAATCTGGAGAACATGGTAATCTCGACAACGGCGCATTCTACGCAGTGGACACACGCATGTCTCGACCACATTAATGAGGCACCGTTATTAAATTGGGTCAATAAAATGAGTGCCGCATTTACGAGACGTCAATAGCTGTTTTGGTTACTTATCGGAAGAATCTCGACTTTTCCATTGGTCCGAAACTCATTCGAGAATGGGCCCACACGCTTCGACACCCATGGCACACAGCCTCTAAAAGTCGCATGTTTAGAACATCACGATCGAATTATTCATCCTGTTCTCGTTAAAACATGAAAACAAGAATCGTTTGTTCGGCGCTTATTATTTACTATCAATGTGTGTTTAATAAAGGAAACCCATCGGTTATGATTTGTCCTTTTCACATTTGCATGCGCATTCCTGCGGTAGTGTACGCGCTTGCACGCCCCGGATTTAATTTCAGCCACGGCGAAGATAACGCGACGCGTCTGGGGTTTTGACGCATTTCAGAATCAGAATCTTTATTTATCCTGGAGAAATCCCATGAGCTATGACGCTCTATTTCACAGGCGTCTAGTCGTTTCACGGATGTGAATCCGAGACGTCACAAAGTAGTCCTTAAAGAGCCTGCAGGTTGCCAACACCTGGGCTAAAAAATAACAACGTTCTGTATGTCCCGGTTGCACGTGAGCAGTGGATATGCACATCACTGGTTGAAGAGACAATCAGTTATCGGGCAGCGAACAGGGGACAAGGGAGTCGACAGCACGGATTGCCGGAGGGGGAAGGAAGTTCCAGATGACGACAAGCAAAAGCAGAGGACACGTGCGGAGAGGACGTTCGCTTGCTGCTGCTGAGATTGGGCGTTGACATCACCAGCTCCTCGTGTGAAGGAGCTAAAGACGTGTCACGTGGTGGCATCCGTCGCAGCGCCGTGTGAGAGATGGCGACATCTCGGGGAGGAGGAGGCCTTCACCGAAGCGGTCGATTGATCGTGGCTGATGGTGATGATGATGACCCACCGAATTAATCAAAACAGTTCGTAAATATTTTGAGTGGACATAATTCGTTTAGACTCTGAGCTATTAAATACAATTCGAGCAAGTACACCAAACGAGCAGTGAATTTCAGTTCAACAAGGACAGACAGCATGATAGGAAACTCTCGACCTTTCGAAATGAACATTAAGCATCCGTCATTAGAGGTTGTAAATAGACTAGCGCTCACTTTGCCAGTGCAGCTAAGGCAATATCATTTACGTTCTACATTTCACGTACACTACTGTGTATAAACATTTACGAATGTCATGTAGGCCCACTGCCAGCTAATACTGTTTAAGCAAGTGCTGTTAGCGAGCACCTATTAAGGCTGCCCACATTACAGAATCAAGAATATGTATTTATCCTGGAGGAATCCGATGAGCTATAAAGCTCTTTTTCACACGAGGGGGGGGGGGGGGGCTGTGGCCAGCACCACACAACACCCAAATGCCAGGTACTCATTTTAGGCTGAGTCAACTTAGGCGAGCCTCTCAAGTTCGAATAGCAAATATATACAAAGAACCCGATATACATTACATTCACACAACTCCACAAGCATGCATACATATGCCTGTGATTCGGTGCTTCGGAGGGAAGGGGTTGGCGGATCACGTAGAGATTTGTGAAACTCCCAAACTCGCTGGACCGCGATGTGGTCAGGAGATAACAGTACAGCAAGTGGGCTTGTCAACTCACACGTAAGATCCCCTTTCCATCATACGTGGTGTGTTTTTTTTATCCGGGTTCTCAGATTTCTTGCCACATGAAAAGCAAACCCCAATGAATGGGATTCGCCCAACATTCCAATTTTCGCAAGACCTTCCTGGAAATGAGACTCAGCGAGGCTTTCCTCAGTAAACAATTGTAATTTTTTTAAAAGTCATTATAGGAAGGGGTTGGTGGACCGCAAGAAGATCATTAATTGATCCATACGCCCAACGTCCAGCGCAAGCAGAAATAAAATGGTAGTTACAGCAAGTAGGTTCAGCATGGGCTTTCTCAGTTACTCCTTTCCCCACAAACATCTATTGCGACGAGTCAGCTTCTGGCGTGTTTAGCGGCCTCCATCGGGATTATCCCTCCAGTGTGTAGGCGGTGCAACTGCACCAAAGCCTGCGGGCTGGCAGAGCCACCGGGCTATGAAGGAGCTGGGTGGCAAGGGGTGAATTTGAGATGGGGACACCCATTTAATGAATTGCACGTGGGGGGGGGGGGGGGCACGTGAAGCACGCGAGGCTACTATGGGTGTCTATGTAAGTCTACGGGTTCTCTATGCGAGTCCTATAGGTGCTACTACGGCTACGTGAGTCTCTAGGCTAGGGGCACCCAATGCCACCCATGCCTTGTCACTGCACCACAACTCTGTTGATAGGAAACTCGACCTTTCGAAATGAACATTAAGCATCAGTCAGTACAACTCTGTTGTGATGCGTCACCGGTGGGAGCGGGCGGGTGACACGCGTAACAATGAAGACACCAACGAGCGCAGCGATCTCCAACGACCCGACCCCTGGGTTCGACTCCCATACCCCCCCCCCCCGCCAACAATAAAGACAAAGATCCCCCGTATAGCCTGTAACAGACTGTAGGGGTAAGTGCTGTTAGCGAGCACCAATGAAGGCCGGCACGGCACACGATGGGGTGGGTGGCCAATCACGCCCGGTTGCTTTTGTCTCCACAGTTGCGATGTTTACACACCGCACCAGGTACTCATTTGGAGCCGAGTCGACCTAGGGGAGGCCCAGGACCGGCTCAAACAATCGTCGCTGGTTGTTGACCGTGAGCGGGAATCGAACCCCGCTCGTCAGATCCGTAGCCCAGCGCGCTGACCGCTACACCACCGCTCCCCCACGCCAACCGCCCCCCCTCCATCGTCGAGTCACGCGGCCCGCCCGGCCATGCGCGTGAAGTGCGGCACGCGCTGCAGGGGCGCCGGGTGCGAGCGCAGCCACGTGGCGCCGCGGTGCACGGAGCCCGAGTCGGCGTCCCGCCAGCGGCACCGCGGGCACGGCAGGTAGACGTCGCGGTGCACGGCGCCCCAGCGGGTCACGGGAGCCACCAGCAACTGTGTGGCGGGTGCAGTGGCGGCGGCAGCAGCGGTAGAAACGTCAGCGCCAACGTCAAACAACGTTGTTGCGATCGTTAAGCAGAAGCTGCAGCGGTGGGAATAACATCGCCGTCAAGATTAGCAGCAGCAGCAGCAACGGCTAGTGGGGACTTGCATCAATTTCACGAGCAGCAGCAGCAGCCACAATAACAGAGGCCAGCGGTGAAACTGTCCGCGGACACATGGGCGTCTTATCCAATAGGCACAGGAGGCAATGTGCCTCGCTCCTACGAAAAAAATGTGACAACGTTAACAAAAAAATGTAACCAAGACATCTTCTTGAATAAATATGTACAGAGCAAGGGTAGGCACGGTGCATGTACAAAGATGCAGAGAGAAATTAACACCGGACATGAACTTTTCCAATATTTTTTCATTGCAAAAAAAACATGTGCAATAAATTCAAATTAATTCTGCTTCTCTGCGGAACATAGCGTGTCCCATCGGATGATGTCACGGCCTAAATAGTGGACGGAGCGATAACGACATCGGTGCAGAGGCTGGACGAAGTGCCGCGTGAAACAAGCGGAGTGACAGCGGCGGTAGTAACATGGGGCAGCATCAGCAGCACCAACTGCAGAACGTTTTCACTGAAGTGTCTAGGGCCTACAAGAATTAAAAATGTCCCGTTGAGGCAGGATCTGTCACGGCAAGATGGAACGATGGCCGGGCGGTCGAGACGAACCACGGAGCGACAGGTAAAGAAAGGAGCGAGAATGCGACCCGAGACGGCGTGCCCCGCGGAGACGGAGCGATGAAATCAGCTCGTGTGCAGGAGCTCGATGGATCGCCGTTACCTCGTGCGAATGTGTGGGATGGTGAGGGCGTGGGGGGAGAGGCCTTCATTCAGCAGCGAATAAATCACGGTCGATAGCGATGATGAGGCCGTTCGGGGTGGAACGGTGGCACAGGGATGAGCGCACAGCGCTACGAATCCGGCCGCCCGAGTTCGATCCCTGCTCACGGCCAACACCGGTGACGATTATCTGAACCGTTCCTTGGTCTCCCCTGGTGCGGTGTGTAAACATCGCCACTGGGGAGACAAAGGTGGCCGGGCGTGGTGCTGGCCACCCACCCCCTCGTGTGCCGTGCCGGCCTTCAGAGGTGCCCGCTCGCAGCATTTGCCCCAATAGTCTGTTCAGGATAAACGTTTGAATCAAATGTGTTTGTTTGTAAGATCGCGCCCTCTCGTGGCTGCGTGGTGTGAGTTGTAATGAATCCGGTTGATGACCCTCACAGCGCGTCCAAGAAGTCCCGCTGGTGTTTACTCCGGCCGCCTCTGTCACCCTCGTGGCGATGTGTACACACCGCACCAGGTACTCATTTACGGCTGAGTCGACCTAGGCGAAGGCCAGGACCGGGTTAGATAATCGTCACCGGTGTTTGTGGCCGTCAGTGAGAATCGAACTTGGGCCGCCGGGTTCGTAGCGCAGCGCGCTCCTCTGGTATCACGCGGTCGCTAGAAGGATCATCCCGATGCGGCACAGTCTACACCAGCTTAGCAAGTGCTGTACCGGTATTCGCGAGCTTGCTGTCCGCGATTTTGGCTATCCGCGAATCGCATCTGGAACTCTACACGGCCGCATCGAGAGAGAGAAAGCGATGAGATAAAGTGATGACGCGCTGCATCATAATTTAAGTAAAGTTAATTCATGAACTATTATTTAACGTTTAATATTAGTTTGTATTTCCTGTGTTTATTAAAACCAACGTTCATTTGTGTGTATTATGATAATTGTAATATATTTCATCGCTTATTTATATATTTTCCGCGAAACGCTCACCCTCGCCGTGGATAACGAGGGAATGGCTGTACCTGCAGTCCATCGGCGAATCGCTCCACCGTCTTGCGCAGCGGTGGCCAATTGTCTATTCAATCCACCACGTGCCGCTCTGTCGACGGGGCATAACGTAGCACACGCTATCGCAGCAGCTAATCATAATAATGCATGTCGCCCGTACTGTGCCGAAAACTGTCAGTGTATTTACACTCATAATAAAAACGCTTGTCTCTTTTCAGAACTCACGACTCCTTTTTGGCACTTGCTCTGTTGCAGGTTGGCCACCCCTGGACTCGAGCGAGCGGGATTGGTGCGGTGCGGTGGCGCGCCGCGGTGTCCTCACCGTGTCGCCCAGCAGGAACTCGTCGTTGACGCTCAGCGCGACGGGGTCACGTGGGTCGAGCCACCACAGGGGACGCACGAGGGGCCGTCCCGCCTGCGAGGGGCTCTCGGCCAAGCGGCGCAGCAGAGGCGCCACGAGGGAGCGGTGCAGCGAGGCCAGGCGCAGGGAGAGCGACGCGGTCTGCGGGAACAGCACGGGGTCGGCGGGGTTAACATACCTGTCAACATATTCTTGGTTTTTTCGGTAAAAGTCACGTAGAAGGGAAATAATAAAATAATAAAAATAAAACATAATAAAATAATTCTCACGACGTTTCGGCCTGCTTGCGTTGTAGCCGACACGTTGTGAGAATTATTTTATTATGATTTATTTTTATTATTTTATTATTTCCCTTATACGTGACTTTACCGAAAGAACCAAGAAGATGAATCCGTGCAGTCACGAAAGCTTTAAATCGCAATGTCAACGTATCCTTGGTTCTTTCGGTAAAGTCACGTATAAGGGAGATAATAAAATAATGTAAATATAAAACAATAAAAAAATTCTCACGACGTTTCGACTGCAACACAAGCAATCGTCATCAGGTGTAAAATCGACACCTGTCGACACCTGATCAGCGCCTTTTATTGGTCACCCCGTGCCCTTATCAATCTCAACGTTCATCCTACAAAGTCCGATCACAAGGGAGAAACGCAAACATATGGACACATTTGTTTAGCCTGTATGGACCTGAAAACTCAATTACCCCGTACGAGAATACGGGGTAAACCGTATGGGTTGACAGCTATCGTTTAAGGTTGGGGGGTAATAAAAATAACACTCTTTCATCATAATGGTTTCTAAACTACACGGCTTCTGCCTGCGCAGGCAAACGTTGGCGTGTCCACTTCTCTCCGTTGGGGGAAATTCCACATTCTTGAGCCAGTGTTGGAAATTCTACATTCCTATGACTGCTGTCAGTCTGTCTTTAGGAGATAAAAAAGATAAAAACACACAACAGCTGTTGGCCTCTCACCAAGTTTGCAGCGTTACCAGCTAACACATTATTTTTTTATTTACCAGGTAAGGTCCGCTCAGCTATATAGCTCTTTTTCAAACGCGACCCGGCCCCAAACGATAGATCAACAAAGTGGCTGATGATCTGTGCATTTATAGCAGCCAAATACTCTAAACACACGTTGATTCTAAATGTGGAGGGAAAAACCTGGAGGACCCGGAGAAGAATCCACACGACCACGGGGAGAGAGACACTGCAGACTCCAAATATACAGCAGCAGGCGTCAGGGTCAAATATGAACCCACGACCTCCTGTATACCAGGCGAGGTAGTTAACATCTCATAGCCACCGTTTCATTAGAGCGTTCGTCAGCCCACTGGCATCGCGGAGCGCTTTACACGTGATCACGGTCCGGGGCAGTGTTTACTTTCATCTGGAACAATTCGGAATGCTGTTTCTCGTAGTTATTTTGGCACGCCACACCCATGTGGCCTAGCAGCGTTACATTAAATATCGTGTAAGACATTAAGAACTAGTTTGATGTGACACGTGGACGAGGGTTTAGGCTTACTGTACCACATTATTTTATTTTTTATTTTACTTTTATTAATTTAAAATTTTTACCTACGTGACTTTACCGAAAAAACCTAAGAATATGTACCACATTTATGGGACACTAAAGCGGGACACACTGTGAGCTGGAAGCCCCTTCCCCTCTGTCGGTACCACCCACTTTTACATTGTCACGCCCACTCAACTGCTAGCACCGTGCACACAGTGGATTCACTCCCCCTCAGGTTTGCCATGCCCACTACTCATAGGCCCTGCCTACTCCTCTGTCAGCCCCTCCACTGCCCAGGTAGCCCCACCCATTTTCAGCCAGAACATTTTCAACTTGGACGAAATCTTGATTTTCGTAAAGTCTTCCGTACACCAGGACAGACTTTCTGAAACCAACAGGACTGCCTCGACCAAATTAGTAGATTTGGTAGCTTGACGCTATGGGTCATGGTCGAGTGGTGTCAAATGAAATGGCACGTGAGGTAGCCAGGTGATATCCGGCTCATGCTATTGGGCAGTCGGCAGAGCTACCTGGGTAGTGTGCGGGGCTACCTGAGTAGTGGGTGGGGCCTGTGATCAGTGGGCTGGGCCTACATTAGAGAGAGCGAATCCCCTCGCTGTGTGGGTGGGGATAGTGCTGAGAGTGGGCATGGCCGAGTGAAAGTGGGTGGTGGCGATGAAAGGTCTATCAGCTCACCACGTGTCCCGGTTGAGCCTCCCAGAAATTTGTTAGCATGATTATCATCATCATCATCGACGTCGCCCTCACCTCGTTGTCGTAGTGCCAGGGCGGCGTGAGGAAAGACATCACGGGCAGGAAGGCCGTGATCTGCATCCACCGAACAAACAGCATCTTCTCCGGAGGCGGCCCTCGGCTCGCCGTGCCTCCTGCCCAAACGCGTTGGCCGGACCAAGTTCAATACCCCCCCCCCACACCGATTCCCTCTCAGCACGAAACAGCAGCCGCAGCAATGGACAGGTATACTCGTTCGAGGTACGTACGTTCATAGCTATAAGCAAACAGGTAAAGCGATGGTAATGAAGATTTTGATGATGAGGATCACGTTGATTCAATCTAGATTTGAAGTTTTCATGACTGCAGGGATGCATATTCTTTGGTTCTTTCGGTAAAGTCACGTGGGTATAAAATAAAATAAATAAAATCACGACGTTTCGGGCGCAACAAAAGCGTCCGTCATCAGGTGGGACAACCACCCTCCCTGGCTCTCCTCGCTGGCTGCTCCCCCCCTTCTCTTACCTACATGGCCTCTTGTTGCGGCAGCCCTTTGCCCACTTCAGCAATTGCCAACAGCGGTTGTATTATAACCGCGCTCTCGTTGTCACCGTCGAGGAAAGGAGAAATTCCGCGCGGAGTTCGCACAAAGCAAGGTAACAATCTCCACGTGTTAGAGAACGCCTTGCGGAGGTTGACACTGCAGAACAACTTGTGAGGTTCCTACAATTTCCGCTCATCCACGCGAGGTGGCGCCACCTTCTAACGTACGTTTCTCTCCTTGCAAATAAACCGACAAATATCGCCCACGTTGTTTAAGGTGATGTATAACAGGTGCGTCACCTCTGGTAGATTTTGCCAAGCAATGTTTTTTGGTATATTTTTGCGTGTCGGAGTAACCCGAATGTCTGGAGAAAGAAAAAAACAAACCGCTCATAATAAACCACAACAGATGGAGCGCCGTACGGGCTTGCTATTGGTTATGTGATCCCTCCTTCACCGCCACCACCAACCCGAATTGACCAGCGTGGTGAAGTATGATCAAGCAAGCCCCATGATCGACACGGCGTGGTATAAGAGAGACCTTAATCCAGCACCGGACTAAGAGTGTTGAGGTTATCTAAGGACTTGCCGTGTGCTGCCCCCTACAGACACCATCCGTGCATCTCGTGTTGGAGCGCATGTGTACCACTGAGTGCCTGCTACGCGAGGTGAGAACATCAGCGCTGGGAAGACAAAGGCGGCCGCGCGTGTTGTTCGCCACCCCACCACCTATACGGGGGGGGGGGTGGTATTTGTCGTTGTGTCTGTGCGTGTGATAGGTGCTTCTGTTTGGCTGCGTAGAGAGGGCTAAACGGGCACGACACGGGCTGGAGATGAGATGGAGCTGATGCGGTACGGGAGGATGTGGAGCTGAGTGGACTTGTCGATGACTGGCACCAGCGGTGTCAAGATCGGCCTCTGTGGAGGAGGTTCGTGAAGGACGCTACTAAGCTGTTGGAAGCAATTGCTCTCCAGCAACAACGGAGGGCAGAGGAGCGACGCTCACAACAACGAGCGGAGCGCCGGGCGGAAAAAACTCACCAAGTTGGCACAGTAGAGGCACAGATTGTGCATCTACCAGTCATCTCAGTCAGTTAACCCATGGAACCTGGCTCTGTCCGGTGATCTGTTATCGAGCCTTCGACACTTCACATGGCCTTAAAGTGCACCTGGCCTGGCACAGGTGCCGTGGTGACGTCACCGCTACTTAGTTGCGAATGGAGGTGGTTGTTGCTGTGATAGATGCCAACTTGGCACAGCAGGGGCTGTAGGGCAATGACGGTGCATCTCTGCCACTCACATCACTGAGTCAACTCATGACACCTGGGTGTGTCCCGTGGCCCCCTTTCCAGCAGCGAGCCATTCACATTTCACGCGTCATCAAAGTTGTTGTTGTGTTGCGTCCTGTTGTGTATGTGTGTGTGAGAGAGAGAGACTGCGTCATCTCTCACCCGCGGCGTCGGGGATGAAGTAGCGGTATCCGTGCAGGCTGGCGAGGAGCGCCGCCGGGATGAGCGCCCCAAGACCACGAGGACCCCAGTTGGACTCCAGTGCGGGTAGCGCCACGTACAGCGGGAACTCGCTACTCCTGGAGCAGAGGGACAAGTCGACTGAGCCGACGGCTGAGCCACCCGTGAGTGAGTCAGTCTGCCTCCGAGTGATTGGGTTAATGCTCGGGCAGTCTGCGAGTTTGTTCGTTGAGGAGTCAGTCTGTTCGTCAGTATTAGAGCGAGTCAGTTATTGGGTCAGTCTATTCGAACAATTCGTCAGTCTGTCAGTCGATGAGTGGGTTAGCCTGTCTTTCAGTCGGTGAATGAATCACTCATTCAGTTAGCGAGCTAGCAATCAGGGAGTCGGTGAATGAATCACTCATTCAGTTAGTGGGCTAACAATCAGGGAGTCAGGCGGTCACTACCGATGAAGGAGACACACCCCTAATGAGCCTGTGGTCAGTACTTGATCTGCTATGCGGTGAGTTCCACAGTGAGTTCAAAGGTTGAGGGGTTTTGTCATTATCGCGGCAACATGAGAGATACCCGCAGACACACCGATATAAAACGTCCTGAGAATTGTCATGGGTGCTACAGTGGGGCTCGCTTCAAGACTCGAAGTCAAGTTCTACCTCACACCACCCCGTGTGCAGCATAACAAAGTGTTCAGCAAACACCGTCAATAAAAGTCAAAGCGCCACTTACGGTACGGCGAGCAAGTGAGACGAATATCCTGTTGTCTAACGTCTCAGCCAACGACGATGAGCACTTTGCAACCACGTTGGGCGTTAGGGTGGAATGTTTATGAGCGATTAGAGGTGTATTGATTAGGGGTGTATTGATTCACCCCTTCTGTACCCCCCTCCCCACCCCCTCCACTATCATCACCCTGCAACCCCCCCCCCCCCCATGATTCAAGCTCAAGACTTCATTTGTCTCGATCGTAGTGTCCGGTTCGTACCGCCTGCCTCGTTTTTATTGTTCTGCAGTGTTTGCGTGATTTGTTCGCATTGCCTGCCTTAGCTCGATTGTCAGTCTTGCACCCTTCCCAAACAAAATTGTCTGTCTCGATTGAACTCTCTCGTTTGTCTCATTCGTAACGCTTGCCTTCGTTTCCTCCGTCTAATGTCTCAAGTTTTTAAAACACGCATCAAACCGCGCGATGATTTAAAAATTTTCCCCGGCCGGGAATCTGGCTGGGGTCACTGGGTTCACAACGCAAGGCGCTAACCACCGTTCCGCCCCCAACGCACGCCATCAAAATAAAGCACTGTTACAAACAGAACGTTGTTGTGACTGCAGAGCTAAACATTCACTCGCACAAAAAAGACAAAGGACTAAAAAGATCCTCTGTATAGCCTTTACCACACTGTTGGGGTGAGTTCTGTTCGTGAGCACCAATGAAGGTCAGCACGGCATACAAGGGGGTGGGTGGCCAGCACCACGTCCAGCTGCTAACTTTATCTCCCCAGTGATGATGTTTGTGCACCACACCACCTACTCATCTGAGGCCGAGTCGAGTCACTCAAGGTCCAGTAGGACCGGTTCAAATATTCGCCGCCGTAATTCTATCGCGAGCGAGAACCCAACTCGGCTCGCCGGGTCCATAGCGCCGCACTAACCGCGGCGCCACCGCTCCCCCGCTGGCACCGCATGGCTGACCCCCCCACCTGCACGCGTCCGAGACGACGGTCCCGTTTCCGACGGCCATGGCGATCCGCGAGAACCTCCGCATGGCGTCACTGCCCCTCTCCTCTCCGCCCGCACCGCCGCGGCCTCCGCCCGCACCGCGGCACGGCACGGCGGGGCCCGGGGGCTCGGTGCCGGCGAGCAGCAGGGAGAGGCGGCCGGCGCCCGTCCACGAGAGGGCCGCGCCGGCGTGCGACTCCAGCCAGCGCCACGCCATCTCCCGCGTGACGTCCAGCTGGAGGGACAGGCGGCCGTCGCGTCGCGCCAGCCGGGGCGTCTGCACGACGCACGTGGTGAGATGCACGTGGCGAGACGCACGTGGCAAGACGCACGTGGTAAGACACGGGGTGGTAGAGGCGGCGTCGTTATTGGCGTTGCGGTCGTGGATCCCGGCGCCAGCGTTGTCGTGATTGTCATCATCGTCATCATCAGCATTTACGTCGCTGTCATCGGAATAGACGATGGGTGTGAACGTTATTTCGCCTGGGGCTGGGATATTAAATGATAATAATTGAAATTGTCAGGCTGAATATTTCCAATATTTTCGAAAGATCACGCCTGAATATGAGAGAGCACAAGGTTGCCTCCTGCAGAGCGCGTGGCAGGCTGATGCCCTCAAGTGCACAGGTTCAAGTTTGCGTCAGTCTTACCATGCACATAAAGGGATGGAGAAACGTGCAGCAGATGATGATGATGATGCAACCAACAGATATATCCATCATCGTAAAATAAGTAGGCAACCACTTCACGAGAACTCAACAAACAGTGGTTGTCCTCTGCAGGAAATACTTTCCCCCGCCATAGGAACGTGGAATTACAAGCCCGGCGCTGGGGAATGAGATTTTTTTAGTACCGCGTCTCCTCCGTGGGGCGCGGGATCCGAAATCCACAGCTGCTCTGCGTCGCGGCTCCTCAGGCTGGCGTCGAACTCGGGGTTGTCGGCTCGGAGGAACGGAGAGGCGGCCACGCACAGCGACACGCCGGCCGGGAGTGGCGTGGGCGCCGGGTCGACCGCCTGCGCCAACAGCTCGTACGGCAAAACAACAGCAAATAAAATCACGCGTATTTAGCAAATACAGAAGCTGGCGGATAGCTTCCCCACACGATGGAGTTTGCACTCACTGGCTTTGGGGCCGTAAATGGATGGGAGCAATGCAAGGCGTACATTTTTTTTTATTGGGAAATGGTTCCTGGCATTCAGTTTTTCCTCCTTCTTTAGTAAATAAATAAGCAACTCGACGAGGAACTGGCCAAGAACATCCCTGTGCAGGAGTTTTAAGACTCAGTCACTAACCTGCACGCCACTAACATTATTAACATGTATTATGGGATGTCAAGTTGGATTTTGGATAATAAAGAAATATTAATCAATAGCCTGTCAAAGCAATGAATAGCAACAGTAATGTTCTAAGTCCCATCAACGTATGAGCCTTCCAGACCAATGTTTTGCAGCAGCGTTTGTTCAAACAGGAGGGTACGCTGTGGACTGGTCTTCGGCTTTGTAAGTCTCATCAGCAAAGTGTGGCCCGTTCGACAAACGCTACTGGGGAAAAAAAATTGTTCCCGGAATGCCGATAAGGTGACAGCCCTAAATGGAATTTCATTTTATTTTTTCGCTGGTAAAATAGACACGTGGTATTTAATAACGCATTTCGTGATTTACGTGTGCGTGTTTTATCGACGGCATTCGCCTATGATAAGTGCGATGCTATGGCCAAACGAGCATTCATTATTTACAACGTGGTGTGGGCTAATGCACGAGGCCGTCGGACATAGACACACACACAACTCGTCATCGCTTAGAAGGCAAAGGCGTAGCCCTGCAATTACCTGCTTACATCACTGCTGGCAGAAGGGCCTCAACAGAGGAAGTTTAATACAGCCCCTCCAGAGGATTGTTTGGCCTACTCTTCCACACTGACTGGAAGACGTGAGAGTACCCACACTTGACATCCCCACACGCGACCCGTCTGTGCGTTGAACTTCTTTCGCACCGTACGTAGCCAATCGTGCTCATCGGAGATGCGGGGGAAGGACAACAAACTAAAAGACAAAACGCGATTTTAAAGAGATGATCTTTCTCTCTAGATTTAAAAGCGCACGGCTCCAGTGGCTTCGTGGTGGGGTTCACCACACTACCTCCTGCCGCGCCAGGAGGTAGAATCGAACCGGCGACCCTCCAGATTGCCAGTCCAGCGTGCCATCCAGTACACCACGATATTTCATCGCTTAAGGGGTACAATATTACCGTCTGGTCATGATGCCCAGTGAGGTGAGGTATAGCCTCTTCACACCAGCAAAGTAATACGTTTAGCAGCGGAGGGAATGTGCGATTTGCCACGCGAGTTTGTGACTTACTCAGGTTACTCGGCCAAGAGGCGTCGCTATAAAACAACAACAGCCGCCGCCGTTCGCCACTAAAGCAACATCACCACACACCTGTGCCAGGATAGGTGCACTTTGAGGCCGTGTGAAGTGTCACACCCTCGCTAGCAGCAGGAGCAAGGAGCAGACCCGCGTGTCACAGGTTCACTGGCCGAGATGACGGTCAGATGCTCCAACTGCGTTGCCCGGTGTGCCACCTCGCGAGGTTTTAGTCGCCCCGGCGCTTTGCTCGTTGTTGTGAGCGTCACTCTCTCCTTTGACCCTCATTTGTAGACATGTGCAACGAAAACGATCCCCCGTACTGTGTAGCCCAGGGGTCAGCAACCAAAACGCAACAAGAAGAGCCATTTCTTTTCGAATTCGGTAGAAAAAAAACTACATTTCAAGAGCCGCAATGCACTGTGTGGTGAATACGAGATGGTGGTCCTGAATAGATAACGTCACAAAACAGTCCTTGATGATTTGAAGCTTTCGTGACTGCAAGGATTAATATTCTTAGGTTTTTTTCATCATCCGCACCTAGTTTACACAACAAAGGCTCATTCCTAACAGCGTGCTTCAGCCGCACCGAACCTCACAAGAATAATATTCAGGGCCTACCTCGGCTCCTCCCACCCTCAACCAGTATATATGCAGGTACGGTTTTCTTGGAGTTTCTCTCACTTGATGCAGCTATCGTGCTGTGGCTGTTCCACCTGAAGATGGAAGCTTGTGTTGCCTCCGAAACGTCGTGATTTTTATTTTATTTTTTATTTTACTTTTATTAATTTTAAAATTTTTTACCTACGTGACTTTACCGAAAAAACCTAAGAATATGAGTCCTTGATGAGCCACAGGTTGCCGACCCCTGCCCCTGGTGTACTGGACGGACTTCCATGGTCAGGGGTCTGCAACCAAAATAAATAATACGATAATTTTTTGTTCGAATTTCTAAGAGCCGCACGCGGCTCTGGAGCCAGCAGGGCCAAGCGCCGTTAGTTGAACTGCTTCTGGTGTGACCAGGGGGTTGCGTGCCGCGTCCGAACATCGACGGGGCCGCATTGCTTCGCGACAGCCCGCCGTGTGAATGGGAGGAGCGGCAGACCGTGGCGGGTTGCCCTGCACGCGCCGGAGCAGGAAGGCTGTCACGTGGCTCTGTGGCTACGTGGGCTTTCGTCCGCTCGCACGCAATATTACAATGACGAACATATTTATTCACTCGTTCGTGTTTTTTCTTCTTTTTGTTCTTGCATATCTGGCGCTCTAACCGTTCGACAGCCGCGTGTTAAAGCATTCGCAAGATAAACAAGCGCCGTTAGCAGCGTTGCACCTATCGAGGGCGGCACCGCCGCAGGCGGATGGCTCACTGCGTGGCTCACCGGCGCCGCTGTCGCCGCTCGTGGCAGATGTGCGGCCGCCTCCCCCAGGCTGATGACGCTGTCTCCCATGGCGTGCTTGTGGAGCTTCCTCGCCAGCCCTCGCACGGCCCGGTGGAGCGCGGCAGGGTCGGCCGGGGCACGCGGCAGGTGCCACAGCAGGCTCCTACGGGCGGCACGGCCACGAATCGCCAGCATGGGGGTCGGTCGCGGGGGGGGGGGGGAGCACAAGCTCCAGGTGGCGCTGGTCACAGGTGTACAAAGATTAAGCCAAACTCTGAACAGATGACGATGACTTGACAAAACACGAGGCTGGTCAGAGGTTCAAATCCTGTAAAGGCACAACAGACGGCGCATTCATCCCTTGCCTGGAGGGAACTGCGTCTGGGGAAAATACGCCGTGGTGGAGGCCCTCATCCAGCAGTACATTCGTCTGATTAATCTACCAAACATCTCCTGGTTTGGCCGGGACAGTCCTGTTGTTTCAGCAAGTCTGTCCCAGTGTCCAAATGTATACAGTATGTGGAAACATTGGGATTTTTTTTGGGAGGGGAGCTTGGGGAGGGGAATAGGCAGGGGCCAGTGTCAGAAAAGGGCAACTCCGCTGTGTGGGATGTGCTAGTAATTGAATGGGCGTGGCCTGGTTAAAAGTGGGCGGGGCTGACGAGGTGAAGGGAGAGGCTCGCCACGTGCTCCTCGTGAGCTTAACAGAAATGTTAAATAATAATCGTGAGCATCTTTGTGGCGACTGAAAGTAACAAAGCATATATATTTTAAAATGTTAATAATGATCATATAAATTAACTAAATAAATAATACATTTAACCAAGGCTCCTGAAATTATGCACTCCCAGAAGGCCTTGTGATTGACGGGACAGATTTAAGAAGGAAATATAATGTCTGCCTATTTATTTTGCAGCCAGAAGTGTTTCAGGCCTTCACAATCTTTGGACATCATTGTTTTGCCGAGGCCTGACGCTGCGTCTTCCGTCGTGCCCTGTGCGGCGCCCGTTACCAGAGGAGGTCTGGAAGGGGAGTCGAACCCGGCGCCGCGTAGAACCTGGCCCGCATGCCCCTGTGCACGGCCCGAACATCGCGAGCCGCACACACCGAGTACAGGAGTTTCCGGTGACCTCCGGATGACCCCACAGACGACCCCGCGACCTCCGTGTCCCTGGACTCCACCGCTCTCAGGCACAGCTCGAAGTCCCCTCCGTTGGTGTTGGGGGACGTGGGGATGAGGACGGGGATCCCGTCCGTGACAAACAGAGCCACACCTGGAGCATCAAAGAGCAGAGGGGGCGGGGAGGGGAGCAGAGTGAGATGAGATGGAAGACATAGGATGGTGCAGTGTTCTTCATTGCAAGCCCGTGGGCCACGGGCAGCGCCTGGTGGCATTTCGTGCTGATGTGCGGCTCACGACAATACACAACACGTGAAAACATCTCATCGTGCTGTCAACACCCAGTGGCGGCTCCTGCAAAATCTCTCAGAGGGGGCAAATGTCTGAATGATTGATAAGGATAAGGTCCACCCATGCAATGGATAAATTAACAGCTTAAGCATGTAAAGGCAACTTCACTTCTTTAATATTAATGAAAAATAAAGTGACTCTTACATCTTGTTTGTTTCTATACTCACTATTAAAACAAACCACTCAAGTTTCTTTTATTAAAGATTCCACTAGGTGGCCACAAATTATATTGTTGGATGAAACGTGCTTACGTATGATGACATAAGCACGTATGATGACGTAAGCACGTTAGGGCGAGCCCTCCCGGAAGCCATAGAGAATGCATTGCAGCGCCCCCCGGTCGAAAAAAAACATCTTTGAATGTAAGTCTATGGGGCCACTCAGGGCGATTCTCAGCCGGAGTGAAATCGCCCAAAAAGAGGCGGTACTCCACAGAACGTGACATGACGCTGATTGGACTATATCCAGAGGCTGCAGTGACGGCTCGCGTGACTCTGTGGTTGAATGACATTGGTGGTGCGTCGCCCAATCGCCCTAATGAAGAAACCGCCCCTGTCAACACCCAACGGTTTCCAATGTGTGGCGGCGAAAGTGCCCCAACCCTGAAAATGTGTGAAGAACGCTGGGTTAGTGTGGAGAGTGTAGTAGCGTGAGCTGGGAGAGTGCAGGGAGGGGAGTAGAGTGAGACGAGATGGTATAGGTTAGGATCGTGAGATGAGAGGAAGGCAGGAGCGAGTCCATGGAGGATCTGGAAGTCGGCGAGAGCGATCTTGAAGTTGATCTGGGACTGGATCGGGAGGGTGCCAGTCGTGGGATCGGATGTGGTCTCATTCACGGATGCGGGTGAGAAGTCTGTCAGTTGCATTTTGAATAATCTGCTGATTGGAGGTGGGGGATTTGTGGAGGAGTCGATTTGGGATGTAATCGAGACAATCACGAGTGGATCAGTGATAGCGGGGGGTGGGGGGGGGGTAAGGAATTGGACTATTCGCGGGAGATGTTGAACTTATTTCGTACCGTGCGTAGCCAACGGTGCTAATCGGACGTGCGAAACGAGAAGAGAGGTGAAATGGCCGGTCCCATCCACTATTCACCGCACTGTCACCCAACATCTCCCACTCGGTCATTCAGTCGCTCACAGCTGTTGACGGGGATGTGCACCGCGATTTTGCGTAAACATCTCACGCGATGGGACAATCGCTTGCGGACGAGGGAGAGAGCGGAGGCGCGGCGCGTGCAGGGAGGATCGAGTGACGTGCGCTGCCGCAAGAGAAAGTTAAAAATAAATGGAACTTGTCCGTATTAATGTCTGGAAGCAGCATATTACCGGCAGCTGTGCCCCCCCCCCCCCCGCTGCCCCCCCAGCCTTGCAGCTGATTAGCGCAGGGACCTCCCCCAGGGAACCACCACCATAAACGTTTACAGAATTCCTTTCTTCCCTAGGTGTGGTGTTTGTTGAAATGTTTAACGTTAAAGACTCCAGTGATGTCGCCATTCGCAAGCTGGTGGCCTTGTGAGCCGAGTTCATACATTAGTCCACAAGGTCGATAATATTAAAGTCCCCTTGTCGATCCACTGCTGGACAATGGCCTCCCAACACCGTGTCGGCCATGGGAGGGGCGTTAAATTGGCCATACTTCACCACGTTCTTCAGCTTGGGTTGGTGTCGGGGGTTGGCGCAGGACTGGTTCGGTTCGGATCGGATGTCACTTACTGCCGGTCAAACTCGGCTGGCCAGGGTTCAGACCGCCGTGTGCCATCCACCGCATCGCCGCTCCAATAAAACCAGCATGATCTCGTTACGACGTGACTTCAACGCACGTCTAACGTCCCAAATATAGGGCAGTTACCTTAATTTAACATATGACCCCAGGACTGAATAGCTCTTCATTTACAGTGATGAAAGCATCTGGCCCGCTTGTCCTCTGGCTGTTTGCGATGAGTACGAATTTGCGTCTATCAGAACAAAGAGACTTTAAAATTCACAAAAAGGAGCGATCTCGTGATGCCATTACCCGGTTTGGCCGATACTTTCTATCACCATCGTATTCTCATTAATGCCAATTTAGGACTCGCCGAGCCTCAACACGTATTGAGGAGGGTCCTGATACATTGAGATATTTGGCCAATTCCAAGTGACGGGTTTTTGGCTTCGTGCTGGAAGGACAGCGGAGAACCTGGAGAAAACCCACAGCACATACGAGGAGATGACACTCAAAGTTCTGCACAGATGGATTTAATAATTAATTCTTGTTACTGCCACCTCATTGGCCCAAGCTTACAAAGCATGGTTAATCAACTTAGGTTATTCATAATACAGTTGTTTTTGGGTTAGATCGCAATGTATCAAAAAATCCCAATGTATAAAAAACCCCTCTATTATGGATGATATTGGTCGTGAAAGCCTTCGTGTTAAACCAACTGAGGTCAATTGTGTAAAACCGCATAGCAACATCGGTCCCCTTACTGGCAGAATCTACCCATCTCTGAAACATAGCTGCTGCTTCTTAACGCTATGGGGATGGCGCAAACAGCAAATGTACGATTTTATCCACGTCGTTATTTTTTAGTAATTATCATTATTTCTCTAAAAATCAGACGCCAAATAATTATTGGGCAACAGAAGCCGATTCGATCCCACAGAGATTTACACGATGGATTTAACATGTAGGCTTTTGTGACCAATGTCATCCATAATAGGTTTTGTGTGGGTTAGATCACGTAAATATATATGCGTCGTTAAGCCCGCCACCACCCGACACAGCCAATTAGTAAGGTTTGTCACGTAAACAGAACGTGCCAATTTTTTACTAGCACAGGAAACCGGTGTGTTGGAGAGCAAATCCACATTTACAATCTCACTACGACGTTTTGCCAATAAAAACCGGCATCATCAGGCAGCAGCCAGATTTGTGAAGAAATGCTCCCTGTTTCGTTCCTTAACTCACGTCTCTGTGTGTGCGTAAACATGTCATCCCAACGGCTGGATGGTATCTTAGGGGGTCCCGCCGAGCGTGAGTAAGCGGTAGAGTAGGCTCGGAATTCTCTCTCTCACTCTCTCTACATTAAGGCACCGCTGGGGGGGGGGGGTAACGCGATGCCCGCGTCTTGGCGTTGACCAAAGATGCGCACAGTTCTGTGGCGGGGGCAGGAATGTGGAAAGTGCAGGAGGGCACGCGGTGGGAGGGGAGGGTGGTGGAAGCCGTCTGTGTAAGTCCACCCCTGCTATGCAGAGATTGTAGAGGGGGACAAAATCCACTTCGAGTTTTCAGCCTCGGATGATGCAGTGCAGGTGGATAATGGATATCAGCAATGAAAACAAACATCTCCAATCCAGGATTAGATTAAGTTTGGATAGGGGCCCAGGGCTGTAACAGCTTTGGTGGGTGTCCCTCCTTGTATCTTCAATTCCTTCCTTGGGCTGTTCAAGCACCACCCACCCCAAAGCCAAACACTGCCATGTTATTCACCTTGGTTATTTCAGTTAGTTTTTTTTACGTGATATACGAATTGTAAAGCAAAAGCAAAGGTAACACGAAGGTTTGGGGGACGTATTCGCCGAACCGTTTATAGATCGTGGCTGATAATGATGATGTTGTTGTTGTTGATGATGAACAGAGACTGAGCAAGCAAGCTGGATGGATCATAGAACTGAGCCGGCACTTCTGAATCCTCAGTTTGAATCCGGGTTTTTCTCCACCTGTGTGTTGAACTTCTGTATGTGTGTACGTTGCACTTCTTTCGCACCGTACGTAGCCAACCGTGCTAATTGGAGGTGCGGGGGAAGAACAAAAAGCTTAACACAAAAAGCGGTTGTAAAGAAAATTCGATTTCAGAGTTAGTGGTCTCAGCCCGGTGCCCAATGACTACTACCATCCCCAAAACCAACCCCTTCCCTAAGTTGGTGCTTCGTTCAATTTGGCATAAAATAAATCAATGATAATAAAAAATATATATCTTCTTGGTTCTTTCGGTAAAGTCACGTAGAAGGGAAGTAATAAAATAATAAAAATAAAACATAATATTATAAAACATAATATTATGTTTTATTTTTATTATTTTATTACTTCCCTTCTACGTGACTTTACCGAAAGAACCAAGAAGATGAATCCCTGCAGTCACGAAAGCTTTAAATCGAAAAAAAATATATATATATATTATCAGTTTGGATTAACATTTGTTTGTGGCAGCATGTAAAGAGGAGTTGCGCCCTTTCGTAAATAGAAAAAGTCACTTGCAGGGATCTCACAAGTCGTTCCGTGATATCACTTTCAACCGGATGTTCTCTCGCACTGTCCTTCGAGAGTTCCAAATAGAATCTTCGTCTCGTAACATGACGCCAGTAGCACAACTGAAATAAAAAGTTGTCTCGGTTTTTTATTTATTTATAAAAAATATAACAGCTGTGGGGTATATATTTCCGTTTCGGGGGATGTACCCTATTTTAAGTGAGCGGCAGCACAACATGCGAGACGATGCGACTTGTGAGAGAGAGACAGAGAGAGAGAGACACAGAGAGAGAGACACAGAGAGAGACACAGAGAGAGAGAGACAGAGAGAGAGACACAGAGAGAGAGACACAGAGAGAGAGACACAGAGAGAGAGACAGAGAGACTTTTTTTACTTTTAAAAAACTTTCATTGCCGCCAGCAGCAACAGCACTGGGAGGCGATTCCGATATGAAACACACAGTCACCAGCAACACAAATAATCGCTATAAATCCACGCGCTGTCGCGCTAAATGCAGCGCGCCCAACACGAAAGAAAAGTCACGTGATGGTGGTGGTCATTGCGCACGCCACGGTGACGAGCGAGCGCCTTAGAAGGTGAACACGAGGGTGCCGTCCACGCTGGTACAGAGAGGGGCTTGTCCGGCTCCCCAGCGTTCGAAGAAGACGTGCACATCACCGACATGTGTGTGGTATGCGTGCTCCAGCCGGAGCCACGCCTTAAGCAGGCCCCTGAACACTGGAAGCACAACGCAGCCATCAGTGTCACCTTCCAGCATCTTTTTCCTCGTTCTGCACACCGCCATCTTCGCCTGAGCACAGGCAAAGTTGGCGAGGTCATGGCGCTTGTTAGCCAGGTAAGGCACCCCTTATACGAAGCTGCTGTTGTAGAAGGGCACCCCCAGTTTCCAGAAGATGTCCCCCAAAAGGCGGAACATTGGTTTGAGCCGCTGGCAACGTAAGTATTGGTGGGGCAGAGAGACACAGAGAGATGAGGAGAGACAGAGAGAGAGACACGAGGAGAGAGAGGGAGAGAGGTGACGCCCATGCTGTGTCACCGACTCTTCTCCCTGCACCCACGCATGAGCCTCGTCAACGCATTGCAGAAGCGGGTCCTCGACTTCTTCTGGTCGGGCGGAGGACACCGGGTCGCGGCTGGGGTCCTGGCCCTGCCACTGGACGAAGGCGGTCACGGGCCGGTGTGCGTGCGGAGTCGGCTGGCCACCTTCCGACTGCAGGTCGCGCAAAAGTTCCTGCACGCCATCCCTGCACCGGTCTAGATCGTCATGGCCTCCTTCCTCCTGAAACAGCTGGGGGGTCTGCAGTGCTCCGAAGAACTATTCTACATGGACATGCAGGGCCTCCCACTGGGCCAGCTGCCACCTTTCTACAGGAGCGTCCTGGAGACATGGAGCTCCCTCGCCATCAGGAGGCTGAGCCAGCCGTGATTGGCTGAGCGATTTGGTCTTTGAAACAATCCTCAGGAAGCCGCAGACAAAGCTGCCATCCACCACCACCACTAGGACGGCACTCGCTGGGGGGCATTGCTCGTCCTGTTCTGCGACCTGTGGGTCGGGCTCGTAATCGGCAGTGGCCGCGCACTTAGGGTTAGGGGCTGCGTGGCCTCCTCCGCTGGGGCCGGGCTTCACCCTGCGCTTGCGCGAAGTGACGAGGGTGAAGCCGAATCAGCGGCCTGCTGTTGCAACAGCTGGCACTCGTGCTGTGGTGGCTGCTGCTGCTGAGGCTGCGGTGGCTGCTGTTGCTGCTGTTGCTGTTGTGGCTGCTGCTGCCGCTGCACAGGCTGTGGCGGCTGCTGGCGCTGTTGCTGGTGCGTGACGTTATTTGCAGGCTGCACGTTTTAAAATGTTGGTTTGCCCATGCAGTTTGCACGGGCATGGTCGAAGCCACTGCACAGGTAGCAGGGTGGCAACGTGGTGGACGAGTACACAGGGTAGGCGTAGCCTTCCGTCGTGTACTTAATATTCACATTAAGTACCGTGTTGTTGGCATTTAAAATCATAAGACGTGCTCCAGTGCTGGGTCCCGAAGGTGCAAGGGCAGCATAACGATGCGGGACACAACTTTGCCGAACCGCTGAAGGTCTTGTTGTCGGTCGGCAGTTTTGAGGAAAGGTGGGGCGTTGGATATATATTTTGCGTGGGTGAGGATGCAGGTGTGCATTGCACAAATATCTCCCCCTTAAAGGTGAGCCCCGTGGCGATGACGCGCGCCATCATCTCCGCGTTGGTGAGGACCACATAGCCACGGTTCGTGTGAGTTGTGACGGTGACGTTCGGCTTCCCCACACACTGTCCAGCGGCGGCTGTCACGTCGTCCACCTTTATGTCAGGTGGCGGGAAGCAGAACAGTCCGTGTTTGGGGGAGTGAGGAGAGAGAGGAACCTCCGGCGTAGCGTGGCGTGCCATTGTAAATAAAAAAAAATAACTTATATAAATAAAAAACTACCTAAATATAGACATTAGCTGCACGAATGAAAGGAGAGAAAAAGACGAGAAGAGGTGGATGGAGAAGAAAGTGGGGTAGAAGGAGGCACAGGGTGGCGGCAGGAGAGAGGGAGGGGAACAGTGAGTGTCCCGTGGCATGATGGGTGCTGCAGGGGCAGGGAAACAACAAAAATTTAAGAAAAGGATGAGTAAGAGCAGAGCAGAGAGGAGAGGAGTGAGAATGAGTGATTGTTATGTTTGTGTAGAGTTTAACTGAGTAGCAGACGTACACTTGGAGGCAACACATTTATTTAACACCAACACACGGGGTAACTGCCCCTTAACCGAATAACAACATATGGTGGTGACCACCAGGCTAACTACACTAATTACAATGTAACTAGCCACTACGGACCGGGACCAGCTCGGGTCCAGGTCCACGTATTGGAGACTCGGTAGAACGTAGGACGAAGACAAAGGTTTCTTCAGGATGAACAACAACGCCGGTCCCTCTGGGGGGACCCGGCTTATGTTCTCAACGGCGTGGCTGGCTCCGCTCTTGGCCACGCCCACCTTCCAGAATCCTCGAGCAGGATCTGGACCCCGACCACTTGACCACCCCTAGCCCCCACTTGGTGCCCCTTTGTAGACTTAACCGGTCACGTGTCCTCTCGGGTCAACCAGAGTGGCATGGCCTTTAGTAACCCCATTCCTACGGCCGGCACTCCCCCACCCTATCCTGTATGGCTGGCACTGCACGCCAAGCGTGATGCCATCCAGCGCTATCAATCAGCGCTCACCGAGCCCCTCTAGGGCCGCTACTGCACCCACACCACGTGGTGTCCGCGATGTCGTTACACCGCACGCCGTGCCTCTCTGGGGCCGGCATTACACAGCGACATCCCGCGATGTCACGACATTTACAATAAAGCAGAAGATATGAAGGATGTAACAGAGTGGGGAGGAAGGGTGGTGAGAGCTAGGGCTGTGAGCAGGCCACAGCCCTGCCTAGAAATTTGTGTGTTAAGAGAGAGGTGGGAGACAGCACGACCCTGTGTTGTTGGAGACACTCGATGGAGCTCGGGGAGTGAAAGAGGTCGCCGGGAAGTACAAGAAACTCTCTCAGGTGAGGCTAGGATGCAGATGAAAAACTAGGCCCTCACTAGCAGCTAATGGCAAGGTTTGGAGCACGGGGAGACGCACCCTCTTCCCAGCATGCAGAGAGAGAGACACATAGAGAGACAATGAGAGACAGAGAGAGACAAGGAGAAATACGAGCGACAGAGTTGGGAGACAGTGGCGTAGGCTAGCGAGTGCACAGGCGGTCCAATTGCATCCAGCGTGGTCTATGGGCCAGAGCTGCCCAGGCGTGTGGCTACAAAGGGGGTGGAGAGGGGGCATGCCAACCACGACATCCCACTTGTAGGTCCTCCTCCCCTCGCCTCGTCCCCCCTCCCCCATTGCCCATCGCGCTCTAACCACGAATGCATGCGGGAGCAGCGATGCGGGGAAACACAAAACACACAATGCGCGCACACACACACACGCCTGCACTGTGTACACACACGCGTGGGCCACGCCTGTGTGTATGCGCCGTAGCAATTTAACAGAGGGGTTGACAAAAGCACACACACACAGATTCAGCGGTCAACAGCGCTTCATCTTGAATCCCGGAAAACCCAAGTTCGATTCTCAAAGCTCTGATAGAAAAAAATGTGATTGATCATTGCAATTGTTTTTAATGTTTTGTATTGCACTACTTCGCATTGTGTGTATGTGTTTGTATGTGTGTGTGTGGGCCTTAATAGGTGCTCGCTAACAGCACTTGCCCCTACAGTCTGTTAAGGCAATATGGGGGATCTTTGTCTTTGTGGATGTGTGTATGTGTGTGTAGGTGTGTGTGTGTAGGGGAGTGGTAGTGTATCGGTTAGCGCGCTGGGGCTGTGAGGTGTGGCCAAGAGAAGGTAGTCAGAATCATAATCAGAATCTTTATTTATCCTGGAGGAATCTGATAAGCTACTAAGCTCTTCTTTTTCACAGATGTCCAGTAGGGGCGGGTCAATACAGGATAGAAGAGGAAGAAAGAGACGAGTCTAGAAAGTCACTCAAATAAATATGGAAGTAAAAATTGCACAAGAACATATACTCCTGAAGATTTGTCAACACCAAGTGCAAGCATGGGGCAAGGCCCAAAACAACAACAACAAAAATCCAAGACTGCACCAATACAACACATTCCCTCGATTACATTGCACTTTATAAAGTATAATAATTGAACTCATGGTGAGTGCCACCTCCTTGTGGGTTTCTCGTAGCAGGGCCCTCTCTGAAAACGACCCTTGAGCAACAATCAGATTTTCCTAGGTACATATTTTTACATCATTTTTTTCTTTGTTTCTATGCCACGGCTGATTGAATGACAAAGAGTCGGAAAATATTTAATCAACTCAATGAGTATTTTTCCATTGACTGTTAAGAAAATGCAGTGGGCTTGGGAAGAATAGGTCGCTAAGTGGTCGAGACTGGCGACGGAGGTGCGGCCAAAGGAGGGAAGACCGCTCGCGAGGACGGCCATCGCGAAGATGGAGCGGCGGGATCAGCTCGCGGAATCATCTCGCGCGCAGAGCTACCTAGACGGAGCGGCTGCATCGTGAGAGCGCGAGGGGAGGGGCTAGTTAGAGGGCTAGGGGGGAGGGTGAAGGGGGAGAATAAGGGGTTCGGTACCTGTGGACCCCAAGAAGTACCCCTCCCGCGCGTGCCACGGGGCTCGCCGGTGTCTCCCGTCCGGCTGTGAGCCCGAGTCCGCAAGGGGCCAGGACGCGTGCCCATCGGGGGACCAGCCAAACCACGTGCCGTTCGGCAGCACGAAGCAGTTCTACAAGGCACATACTCATCATCAGCAACAACATCATCATCATCAGCAGCAACAACATCATCAGCAGCGGCAGCAGCAGCATCAACAGGATAATTCATATTCACTCTCATCATCATTATCAATCATCATCACAACGTTATCATCACCACCACCAGTGTAGTAATCATCATTGGTTTGATTTTCAGAAGCATCGATCACCGTTACAAGAATACATAAAAACAAATAACAGCCTTCGGCATGATCATCGTGAGTCGATGTTGAGGAAAGTGTTGGTAGCGAGCACATATTAAGGTTGGCACCACACCCAACGGGTGCTGTTTGCACATTACATCACCTACCACAAATCTGCGACGTTTCGAGCAAGGGCCCTTCTTCATAGCACGTAAAAATAGCCCAGAGAGATACAGTTAATAAGGTTTGGCGACTGAACTTTACACCATGGGTCCTAATTAGAAATGCATTTAGAGCATGTTTTATGATTACCAGTTTTTAAATAGTAACCGTTGAGTACCAGCCAAGCCATTCAAAACTCAATAAGTAATTTTAGTCCAAGTCAAACGATCAAATGTTGCTGGCACAATGCAATGCAGGAAGGTGTGTCCTGGTCCCAATCACCGTGTCATTACTTTTTGAAGCGAAGTTAACCTCGGTGGAAGGGTAGCTTCCGAGATCTGACCAAATCTGGTGCATTCCAAATGAACTGGTTAGGAGGCTTACACCGATCAACAGTGACACGTAGAAGATATAGATCCCCCATGTACCACCAATGAATATTATTCAGCAAAAGTTGGTACCACCCAAGGTCATAGTATGTACCGATGCATTTCCATGGCTAATAAAAGTTAAATGTTTGGTAACACACTCATTTCTAATTGGTTATCACGTAATGTACTGTTATTTGCCACATAAAGAAATTGAAACGACCAATATCACGCTCGGTCAGGTGGGTACCGATAAGTGAAGTATCTTGTTTGGGCTCACGGACTACATACGTACACACACACGAAAGTGATTATTGATTTGTGCTCAAACCAACGTTATCCAGTGACGGGAATTTCACATTTCCTATGGCGGGGCCGAGTGCATCCATCTTCATCATCCACTCATACATGCGCCCGATCTCAGAAGCCAAGCAGCGTTGAGCCTGGACAGTTCCCGGACGGGCGACCGCCGTGCATAAAATGTGTTATAGGCTGCTGCAGAGCTACGTTATCAGAAGAGTGTTGTGCTATCCTTCTATAGCCCCCACGCCGATGCTGTGTGGTGAAAAAATAACACCCCCCCCCCCACGATCAGCACGGGTGCGGAGAGGCCGTCATCCAGCAGTGGAGTGGAAACATGTTTTTACATTGGTTCTTTCGGTAAAGTCACGGAGAAGGGAAATAAGATGAATCCCTGCAGTCACGAAAGCTTTAAATCGAAATGTTTTTACAAATATAAGATGTGTAAACAGCACACACGTATTCTTGAAAGACTCAAATGAATTCCTGCAGTCACGAAAGCTTTAAGTCAAGATTTAGCACACACGTACATACGAAGATTTCCCTTTCGCCTCAACAGACTGTTGGGGCAAGGGCTGTGAGTGAGCTCCGATGGTGTGACCTGAACCAAGCCCGGCAGCATAGCTCATGCTCAGACACCGCATCAGGTAACGATTTGAGGCTGAGTCGACCTAGGGGGAAGTCTCGGGACCGGTTCAGATAATCGCCACCGGTGTTGGCCGTGAGCAGGAATCGAACTCGGGCCGCCGGGTTCGTAGCGCAGCGCGCTTACCACTACGCTACCGCTCCCTGTAGACGCACAAAGACAAACACTTGCACACAGGTCCATCCGCATGCAGTACCTGCAGTGTGGAGCGACAGTCCGGGTAGGTCCATTCCACGTGGTAACAGTCCAAGTGTCCTCCAGCATCCACGCTCTCCGCCCTCACGCGCAGCTCCTCCCCAGCCTCCCACCTCTCACAGAACTCGGGTGGCGACGAAGGCGACGATGTCGATGACGATGTTGCCGACGACGATGATGATGATGCTTTTTGCGATGTCGTTGATGAAGACGGCGAAGCGCGCTCTTGACGATTATGTTGGTGATTGATATGATTGTGTTGTTGCTGTTGGCGTTGCTGATGCTGCTGTTGACCAGTTTCCCTGGCGACACAAGTGGCTCGTCTCGAGTTCCACGCAACCTTCTTCACCTCCTCTCCTGCGTCCGGCACCTTGACCGCGGCGCAGCGGATTTCCAGGAGATCTCCAATTTGAGAGGCGCTCGAGATCGGAACATCTCCACCGCCATCGTCATCCTCCTCCTCCTCCTCCACCACCTCTGTCGACGCGTCTCCATCACCACCACCACCGCCATCATCGCGATCGTCGCGCTGAACGTGGTGCCGAGCCAGCACGAGACGGAGCGCGCGAGCGTCCCAGGCCAAGCCGCTTCGCAGCGACGTCGCCTTGAGGGCCCACGCTCTGTCGGGAGTGTCCACCACCTGCCAGTAGATGATGGCGACGGTCATGAGGAAGAAGATCGCGACGCAGAGGCACGCGACGCCGCCGCGCCACGACTCGTGCATCTCGCCGCGGCTCGGGTAGAGCGCCGTGTCGGGGCGAGAAGAGCGCCGAGACATTTGGGTTGGGGGTGAGATCGTTGTGCGTGGCGGTGTGTGGGGGGGGGGGGCAGGTGAATGGGGTTGCGGTGCAGCCGGCAAGACGATTCAGGTAGCGAGGACGAATGGAAGAAGGGTGCGGAGGTAATTGGTGCGTGGGGGGGGGGGTGTTCGTATCTGCTCCGCTCTGGTGGCGGCTGCGGGTGGCGCAGAGCTTTATACTTCTTTCCCACCGCCATCGTCAACCACTCCTTCTGTGACGCAGAGTCTTGTCCACTCAACCACCTTTTGACTGCCCGCCTCTCAGTTATGTAAGAGGATACGGGTATAGCACGCACATACACACAAAGACAAAGATCCCCGTATAGCCTTAACAGACTGTTGGAGCAAGTGCTGTTAGCGAGCACCTATGAAGGCCAGAACGTCTACACGAGAGGGTGGTGACCAGCACAACGCCCGGCGGCCTTTGTCTCCCCAGTATTTATGTTTACGCATCGGTACTCACGCACACACAGGCACGCGCATGTGCACACACGTGCACAAGCATACAAAGGCAAAGACACCCCACCCCCCCATAGCCTTTAACAAACTCTTGGGGCAAGTGCTGTTAGCGAGCATCTATATGAAGGCCGGCACGGCACACTAGGGGCTGGGTGGCCAGCACCATGCCCGGTCGCCCTCGTGGTAATGTTTAGATGCCAAGGACTGGTTCCCATAGCACACGCCAGCGGTGTGAGCTGTGGCTGAGCGCAGTGCGTCAACCACCGCGCCACCGATCCCTACACACATTCCCATGCGCACGCACATACACACACGGAGGGAGCGGTGGCGCAGTGGCTGGCGCATTGCACTCCGATGAACTTTTCCACCCGAGTTCGACTCCCGACCACGGCCAACACAGTGTTACTGGCGAGATGATATCCTGACCGGTTGTAACCCGCTCCCCTTCCCCACACTCCATTCGTCAACCAGCCTTGACAAACGTGGTGAAGTATGGTCGAACAACCCCTACGAGCAACAAAGGCGTGGTAAGGCCAATCATCCAGCAGTGGATTGACAAAGCGCCCTGATTGTATTATACATACAAATACAAAGATCCCTCGCATAGCCTTAACAGACTGTAGGGGCAAGTGCTGTTAGCGAGCACCTATGAAAGCCGGTACGGCACACGAGGGGGTGAGTGGCCAGCACCACGCCTGGTCGCCTTTGTCTCCCTAGTGGCGATGTTTACTACACATCGCACCCGGTACTCATTTGAGGCTGAGTCGACCTAGGGGATGCCCAGGACCGGTTCAGAAAATCGTCACTGGTGTTGGCCGTGAGCGGGAATCGAACTCGGGTCGTTGGGTTCGTAGCGCAGCGCGATATCCGCTACACGACTGCTCTCTATACACACACACGCGCGGTACAAACAACGCTCCGCTATAACACACAAGCGCTTCCCAGACTATTGCCAGGGAGCGGTTGGGTGCAAAAGACTTTTCAGAGGGGGGAGGTGCAGAGGCTGCGACATGGATATAGTGCAGGATGCATTTCGAATGCGCGCCGGAAAACAGCGATAAAACACGCGGACGCACAAGCTGGAACACAGCCCTCCTCATCAGCAGCACGGCGTTGGCTATAATCGTAGACATGGGATCCTTCCTGTGGCTGTGAGTAACGTGGCAGGGGCTGGGAGGGGAGGTGACCATAGTACAGTGGTTGAGACCCAAAAGCGGTGACGGTGACGTCCCCACGGCGCCTGTGCCAGGCTAGGTGCACTTTGATGCCGTCACGTGAAGTGCCGAGGGCTCGCTGACAGGAGGTCACGGGACAGACCCCATGTGCCATGGCTCACTGAGATGACTGGCAGATGCACCAGCTGTGCCCCTCCACTACTGTCCAACTTGTAGCCTTTTATACGCCCGGCGCGCCGCTCGTTGTTGTGAGCGTCGCTCTTCTGCCCTGCGTTGTTGTTGTTGGAGGGCGGACTGCCTCCAACTGACCCAGTAGCGTCCCTCACGAGCCTCCCCCATAACAAAGGGCGATCTTGACACCGCTGGCACCGCTGTGCACACACCAGGACCACCCACATCGTGTGCTGAAGCGTACTTGATGCAGGTGTTTTGGGTTAGATCGCGTAAATATATAGATGTGTCGTGAAACCCACCACCATCCTGATACAGCCAATTAGTAAGGGTTGTCACGTAAACAGAATGTATCAATTCGTTAGAATCTAAATGTTGTGGCTTTGCTCTCCAACACACCGGTGTGCTGTGCTCGTAACGAATTGGCCACGTTCTGTTTACGTGACAAACCTCACTAGTTGGCTGTGTCGGGTGGTGGCGGGTTTAACGACACATTTATATATTTACGCGATCTAACCTAAACACCCCCCCCCCTCAGTATTATCGATTATATTAGTCGCAAAATCCTCCTACGTGTTAAACTGAAGCGTTCTTGATGCACGTTTAGACGCAAGCTGGTGAGCGAGCGTGAGGCGTAAAGCCGTGACGACGTCTGGTCCGGAACACCGAGCCCCGCTTGTTGGAGATTTGAGTAATCGGGCCGCCCGCAAGTTCGGATTCGGGTCATGCCTCTCAAAGAAAACAAATTGTTTTCACGCTTGCCTCGTTTATTGACCGAAGTAGCCGCACACTCTCTGGGTTCTAGGAACAACCCCAAGCGGATCCCGAACGGTTAGGCGTTGGGTAGTGGTGGTGGGGGGGGGTCTGTACCCCACTCCAACTCCTCGGTGACGATTATCTGAACCGGTCATGGGACTCCCCTAGGTCGGCTCAGCCTCAAATGAGCACCTGGTGCGGTGTGTAAACATCGCCGCTCGGGAGACAAAAGGCGACCGGGCGTGGTGCTGGTCACCCACCCCCTCGTGTGCCTCGCCGGCCGTCAAAGGCGCTCGCTAACAGCACTTGCCCCGACAGTCTGTGAAGGCTACACTTGGGGACCTGTTTCTTTTGTGTAGTGGTTCGTGGTTAATCACGGTGATCGCTAACAGCGCTTACCCCAGCCTGAGACCATCAACTTAATACACTTGAGTACCCTGGTAAATGTTCGGATTCGAATCCAGGTCAATGTAGGCCTCTGACCTCTCAATAATCAACATGAGTATAATTATATTCAAGTATACCGACGTGTGTTTAACTGTTTAAATACACTGTAGGTGAGCAGAACCCTCCTGGAGTGCATTCTCAGATTGGATGAATAACCGCGAAGATTAAAATTTAAATGACATGTATATTCAAGTAGGCATATAATAACATATTAATATATATGATATATGCAGTTATTAGCTACACCGAAAGCAAAAAAGTGCAAGGGTGGAGCGACGCATGCTTGGAATGACGCCGAGAGACGGGAAGGGGAACGTGCGGAGGGGACTCCCATTTCATTCCGCGGTGGCGAGGAGGTGCAATCTCCCTCGCCTGGTACCCATGGGTTCGATCCCGGACCCTGACGATGCCTGTTGTATATTTCAGAGTCCGTGTGTTCTCTCGCTCCCCGTCGTGGTCGCGTTCATTTTTCTCCGAGTCGTCCGGTTTCCGCCCTCCACATTTAGAATCAACGTGCGGTTAGATGATTTGGCTGCTACTATGAATCCCCAAACATGATGATATTGATAAGCCACTTCGATGATCTACCACGCGTGGCCAGGTCGCCTCTGAACAAGAGCTCACAACTCGGTGTCCTTTACCTGGTAAAAGAAAAATAATCTAGTTTAGTTTATTCCTTGCTCGTGCCAACCAACCACGCTACTTCACCGCTTACTGCTACATTCATTATCCGACCGCCTGTCGCCGGAATTGAACCGTGAATCGGCGGCTGATCTTCGGTCGTTCTCGAAATGTTCCCGCATTGTTGTTCGCAGTTTCTCAGTTGGGTCCGCTGGGACACAGTAACCAGAGTCGGGGCGAGCGGGGTTCATTGCTATCGGCAATCAGCGCCACCCGGTTCATCCGTGACCTGTTCGGAGTGGCGTCGGTTGGTATCGCCTGTGCACGTGTGAGTTAGCTGCCCAGCACAGCTCCGGGCGATTCGTCCAGATTTCACCCCGGGCCCTTAGGAGCGGACGCTGCGTACACAACTGACGCTGCTGGGAGGGCGTTGTCGATATGAATGGATGATGGTGGCCACTTCACGAACAGACTTGTCGAGGCAAGCGCTGTCAAGGCCCGCATGACACACGAGGGGTGTTGGTGGCTAGTGGGGAGCGATAGTGCAGCGGTTAGCGAGCTGCGCTACGAACCCGGTGACCCGGGTTCCATTCCCGCTCACGGCCAACACCAAATGAGTGCCTGGTGCGACGTGGGGAGACAAAGGCGATCGGGCGTGGTGTTGGCCACACACCCCCCTCGTGTGCTGTGCCAGCCATCAAAGGTGCTCGCTAACAGCACTTGTCCCCGTAGTCTTTTAAGGCTATACGGGGGATCTTTGTTTTTGCCTTTGTGGGTGGCCAGCACCCCGCTGTTGATGTATTGCACACCGCATCACGTGTGCACCTATGGTGAGACCTGGGACCAGTTAAAATATATTTATTGGTCGGAAGCGGGAATCGAACTTCAGGAAAGCCGCCGCCGAGTTCGCCACGCAGTGGGCTAACCACTGCGCCACCCACCGCTCACCCACTGCAACCACGTACGACAAACTCACACATATCCACAACGTTTCACTATTACTTTGAAAAAAGATTATCTACGATAATAGGGTTTCCCCTTTTTTCTGGCAAAAAACAGCTGTGTTAGGATGTTAAGACACCATACTAAAACCTTTTTTTTTACCAGAAATCATGTTTGCTTTTAACCACAATGCTTGTGGTCAGAATGCAAACAAAAAACATACTCTGATAATTAATGCATTGCCCTTGAAACTGATTGGTCCACACCAGGGACAGCTTTCTTTTGACCCTCGTCTCAACGGTGTTAGACCAGAGGACACTAAAAGGGCAATGCATTAATTATCAGAGTATGTTTTTTGTTTGCATTCTGACCACAAGCATTGTCGTTAATGCAGACATGATTCTTTATAAAAAGGTTTCAGTTTGGTGCCTTAACATCTTAACACAGCTGTTTTTTGCCAGAAAAAAAGGGAAAACCTATTATCATATTTTTGTACTGGCAAAGGAGGTCCCATGATAAAGATTATCTACGTCACATTGGGGAAATGCGTACACAAAATACAAATATCCCCCTGAAAGTCTTCACAGACTGTTTGGGCAAGTGCTGTTAGCGAGCACCTATGAAAGCCGACACGGCCACACGAGAGGATGGGGTGGACAGCACCACGCCCGACCGCCTTTATCTTTCTCGTGGCGATGTTTTTACACACCGTACCAGCTACTTATTTGAGGCTGAGTCGACCTATGGGCGGCCTAGGGCCGGTTAAGATAATTAATCGTCACTCTGTTGGTGGCCGTGAGCGAGAATCAAACTCTGGTCGCCGGGGTTGCAGCGCAGAGCGCTATCGTGGAGGAATCCGATGAGCTATGAAGCTTTTTCAACAGACGTCCAGCTACAACTACCTCTCCCCACACTTGCGTACAACGACAGCCACCATTCGCCACTAAGTGGCGGTGACGTCACCACTGCGCTTGTGCCAGGCGATGTGCACGTTGAGGCCACGTGAAGTGTCGAACGCCCGCTGGCAGGAGGTCACGGGGCAGACCCAGCAGGTGCCGTGGATCCACCTCCTGAGACGACTGGCCGATGCACCACCTGTGCCCCCTACTGTGCCAACTTGCTGTGCTTTAGCCACCCGGCGCTCCGCTCGTTGTTGTGAGCGTCGCTCCTCTGCCCTCCGTTGTTGCTGGAGGGCGACTGCCTCCAACTGCCCAGCAGCAGCGTTCTTCACGAGCCTCCCCACACTTGCTTGCACACTCACACCAACAACGCATTGCTCAGGGCGGCTGGTGCCCATGCTGTCCGTGGATACGATGAGTAGTAGGAGTAAGCAGCATTTGCCACACGAGGTGGTAACCGTTAACCACACACCCACCCAGCCCTGGCCCACGGGATGGAGTCCCCGTATCCTCGGACACGCGTTGTTCGAGATGAAGAATTCGGGGCGCCCTTTCATAACAGCGCTGGAACGCGAGCGATGGAGCGAGCGATGGAGCGAGCGAGCGCCCGCACGGACGGGCGGGCGGGCATTCGAGCGTATTTAATGAGCGTGGCGTGAAAGTTTGGTATTAAAACTCATTTGCAGGGATTAACATTGCAGTTGGGATTTAGGTTTGCGAAGCGCTTACTGTGCGTATCTTTACGAGAGTCGAGCTTAGTTCAACTTGGGGGGCGGGGGGGGGGCTAGGGGGGTTTGTCGGGTTTTTAAAATTCTGTTTGCTCATCGTGATCCCGTCATAGGAACGTAGAATTTCCACCACGCTCGTTTTGAGCCAGAATGAACTCTGATTTTGTGTGTACAGATATAAAAAGCAACTATGTGTGGAGTGGAGGGCAGGTGACTTGGTTAACGCACTGCGCTAATTAACTTGGAGACGTGATTTCGATTCCCAGCCACGACTATCATCAGTGGCGTAGCGAGTGATATCCGAACCGGTCCTGGGTCCCCCTCCCCTTCATGAAGAAGAGATTTTTGTTTGTAATCGAAGTTGTCCTCGTGGAACGGCGCAGGACCAACAGCCTAACCACACAAACCTGATAGGCTTGCCACCCGTCCTGGTTTTCCCAGGAACATCCTCCTGTTGAGGTATGCCTCCTGGAAAACCCGTAAGTCCCCCCGGGACGTTAAAGGGCGCCACGGTGGCTAGGAGATGTTAACTACCTTGCTTGGGTATACAGGAGGCCATGGGTTTGATCCCGATCCAGACCCTGACGCCTGCTGTATATTTGTAGTTTGCATGTCTCTCCCCGTGGTCGCGTGGATTTTTCTCCGGGTCCTCTGGTTTCCCCCCTCCACATTTATAAACATTCTAGATTTGAAGCTTTCGTGACTGCAATGATTCATATTCTTAGGTTTTTTCGGTAAATTCACGTAAAGTTACCGAAAAAAACCTAAGAATATTTATAAACATGTGTTTATAATATTTAGCTGCTATAAATGTACACGTAATAAGCCACTTTATTGAACTATCTTTTGTGGCAAGGTCGCTTCTGAAATAGAGCTATATAGCTCAGTGGGCCTTACCTGGTAAAATAAAAAATAGTTTAGTTTTAAGTTATTTCAGTGTCCTGGGATGTTTTTTTTATCATCTCTCTAAGAAACTGATAAATACACCACTCAGAAGATCTTTTTTTAATTTAACATGCAGATTTCAACTCTTGTGACGTTGTCAGATATTCTTCCTCTCATTGTGTTCCCGTTGTTGTACCTGAGGTGGCAATAGCCTTCGTGTCGCTACGGGAGCTATCTCTGTTGTGCATTGGCTCAAGCGTGCCTGGCTGCTGATGAGACACTGAATGTCGAAGCCGGTACAGAGTTTTGCTTGTGTGAAACCATTTGCTGCCGAAATGATGTATTCCCTTCTTAGAAGACCGTGTGGCTGATCGAATGTAAAAAAAACCCCCACTTGAATTATTGTTTTACCATGAGGATAAACAGATATGTGACGGAGGCGTAATTGTCCGCCCATCTGTATTTGTTCGTGTGTTGGGTTGTATGTTTGTGCGAACACAGACCCCCTCGATGGATGAATGGATTCGTGATCCCTCTGCGAGGCCAACAACGCAACGTGACCCCTGGGCTGGAGCACACGGAGTGACACAACCCCCGGGCTTAGCGTGAAATCTCCGTGGCGCGCAGCTTCACAGGGAGAGTTGGCAACGCACCCGGGGCCAAACGCACCCGTGGCCAAGCCCGATTAAATAAAACACAGAGGCAGACACAAAAGACAAAGATCCCCCGTATAGCCTTAACAGGCTGTTGGGGCAAGTGCTGTCAGCGAGCACCTATGAAGGCCGGCACTGTGGCACACGAGGGGGTGGGTGGCCAACACCACGCCCAGCCGCCTTTGTCTCTCTAGTGGTGATGTGTACACATCGCACCGAGGGGAGGCCCAGGACCGGTTCAGATAATCGTCAATGGTGTTGGCCGTGAGCGGGAATCGAACATGAGTGGCCGGTTTCGTAGCGCAGTGCGCTAACTCTCCGCATGAATCGTGTACATACAAAGACAAATATCTTCCGTGTAGCTTACACAGGTTGTCGGGGCAAGTGTTGTTAGCGAGCACCTATTAAGGCCGGCACAGCACTTGGGTAGTGGCCAGACCCATGCACGGCCACGTGTCTCCTCAGTTTCTGATGTTTTATCCCACCGTATGTATACCAACACACACAAGAACATACCATCACACACATCATATACTTTCCCCGAAAATGTATAGTCCAATGTTTGAGAGAGAAAACACACGTATCATGTGTAAAATTGTTCCATACCAAACATGTTCAATCATATGAAGTAATAGAGCCATTTATTTCCTCACAACATGCTCACTTATTCAATTACGCGAGTTACAAATTACTTATTAATTTAAACATAGTGCAATTAATTGGGCTGAAGCACCGACCCACTCAGTTGGTAAGTTTACGCAATTACCTCTCTCGCAATGCCATTTTTTTAAATTCCATTACGCAATCTACTCTGCCGTCATTTCCACTTTGGCAACCGTTAAAGATGTATTGCTCTCATAATGGGACCTTCACTAAGCAGTGATCTATGGCCCATCGGAATTTTTCAGGAATTTGAAACATAATTTACCTCAGCATATTTGGCCATCTCTTAAATAAAAATTGCACGCATCACTTTGCCATCATTATTTTTCTTCTTCCTCTGTAAATTGTGATTTAGTATCCAAAAATAGATTTACCTTCAGCAGTTTGTTTCGAAATCAACTTGAAATATATTTTCCAGAAAATCTAAAATTAAATGATAGAATTTGATAAAGAGATACACTGATTATTAAAATTATGGATATATTTTCTACGAACGACCATTGTCTCTAATGGTGCCTATTATATATTATTTACTTTAAGGCCACAGTGCTATTGACGAATGTTTAGAGTTTCCCATGATTTGTATTTGTGCACCACTGACAAGGCAATATCACCAATAAATGTGTTTTCAAATTCTGTTTGTTGGTGGGAACTTGTCACCAAGATGGCGGCAAGTGATCACAAAGATGGCCGACAGTGAAATCCAAGATGGCGGCAAGTGATCGCCAAAATGGCCGACAGTGAGATCCAAGATGGTGACAGATGATCACCAAGATTTCCGACGGTGAGATCCAAAATGGCGGCAAGTGATCACCAAGATGGCCGATGGTGAGATCCAAGATGGCGGGCACTTTGTGAAAATAAATCTCATTCATGGGCAGCAACAGCAGGGGTCTACAGATTCACCTCCTGGTGATCCGATTCTTTGTTTCAATTAAGGAAGTTAATTCAATAAAATATTATTTTTGTTTTGTTTTCCATGTCATTTGTATTGTCTATTTTTGTTAATCTCGTTTGTAGAATATTTTAAAATATTACGTAGAAAAGTAAAATTCACTTTGTAATCCATAATACAGGTTTTTTTGGGTTAGATCGCGTAAATATATAAATGTCGTTAAATCCGCCACCAGCCGACACAGCCAATTATTAAAGTTTGTCACGTAAAAAGAAACCTAGTCCAGCACACCGGTGTGCTAGAGAGTCAAGCCACAACATTTACAATCTGAGTACGACCTTTCGCCAGTAATTACAACTAGCGTCATCAGGCGACAGCCAGATTTGTGGAGAAGTCGACCAGTTTCGTTCCTTTAATAGCGGCGTAATAACCCAAAACACCTGTATTATTGATGATATTCGTCGCGAAAGCCTACGTGTTAAACTTCACTTTGTACTATTAACGTGAGCATACCATTTGCATTTAATGTGCATGACATGTAAATCACACTTATAAATCGATACTCGATTAAAACCGATGCAACGTTCCACAAGAGGTAAACAGCACAGAAGCTCGCTGTAGCCAACTTCATCGCTGGCTCCATTCCACTGCATGCGATTGTAAACTCCAAAAGTAAAAATAAAAGTGAAATGACAGAGGTGGCCCGGTGGTTAAGGGCTCAAAGATGCTGTGTTGGTACTGATGAGCTCTTCGGTTCGAATACGGATTCAGCCGCTAGTGATGGAACCGGGTTCTCAAGTGCTTTGATTTGAGACTCAGCCTGATCACCAAAGGAATGCACGGCGTGCCATCATGTTCACATTTCTTATCTTGTATAGATTTAGAGAGCGCCTTCGTCCGAGGCGCTTTACAATCGCTATAAAATTGTAACTAAGATGACAGCGGTTAAAAAAGAGTGTAGGCTTGTTAATTCAAGTGGTGGTGTCGCTATGGTGACAGGACAGGTGGCAGTGGTTAAGAAGGGGTTGGGGTAGTGATAGGTGTTGGGGTAATGATAATAGGGGTAGTGATAGGGTTACTGATATGGGTAGGGGAAGTGACAGGGGTAGTGATCGTAGCTGGCGGGGTTGGTGCAAGGGAGAGTAGCAGGAACAGGATAGCCAATGCAGAAGAGATGGGGGTTGTTTTCAGCGAGGCATGGAAGCAAATGATTGAGGACGATTGCTCTGCGTGTCGCAGTGGGAGATGGTTCCAGTGAAGGGGAGCAAGAAGGGAGGAGGGACGTGACTCGGCGCAGGGTGGCAAGCAAGGTAGAGAGAGGGTCGGTCGATATTGGGAGCTTAGAGGACGGCATGGGACAGTATAGTTAAGAAATTAGAGAAGCAAAATAAGGTGGGGCAAGACACAGAGCTAAGGTTGTGTTTTTCGGCACGGGTTTTATTTGAATCCGAGCGAGCCAGCTCTGCCGAGAGTGAACTTGCGAGACGACAGCGGGGAGAGAGTGATGGGGGTGGGAACGAGCGGCATGGCTAACGAGCGTGCTCGCGGTACAACCATTCCTCGCACCGGAGCTGATGTCAACTACGCTACGCCACTGGGATGAACCTTACCTTCCTCCTACTGAGACCCCTTTCCCTACCCTCGCCTCCCACCTTTCTTTCACCCCTCTCAATTGGACTGAACATCGCTAGATTTTTAGTTTGTTTAAGGAGGTCACACTGTTGGGTTTGTCAACTTGTCCTGGTTTTTCGCAGGATCGCGCCTCCTGTAAGCGATCATTTTTTTCTTGGGGAAATCTCTGAAATCTGCCCGGGACATTTTGGCAAATCAATACAAGTCCCGTTTTTTTTGGTCAGTTACGCGTGGGTTATCCTTTCTCATTCTCGTGGCACGTGACATTTTCTGTTGTTGTTATTGCTTTTGCCGTATCCCAGAGGTGGAAACCCTATTGGGGGGGGGGGCGGTCCCACACGGACTCTTACGGCAGCTTCCATTGCTTGCCGGTCAACGGCTCGCGCTTGACCGACAGCGCGATCAGCTGCTGCGCCGCGTAGTAAGTCGCGTGCGTGACCAAGGCCGCGTGGGGCACCGCGAAGCGAAACCGGTTCGTGGCCAGCGTCAGATCCGACGCCACAAAAAGCGCCGCGCCCAAAGCGCCGCTCAGCTCGCAGGCCCCCCAGCCGGGCCCCCCGAAAAGCCGAGCCAAGGCCCGCCACGCCATGGTGAAGATGAGCAAGCTGTACGCCAAGATGGCCGGCGCGAGCACGGCGTCGTCGCTCACGCCCGGGTAGAGGAAGGCGAAGGCGGCGAGGGCGCAGGAGAGCAGCACGAGGCCCAGGACGAGGTGGTCGCCGCGCAGACCGAACGCTTTGATGTAGCAGCAGTGGGCCAGGCCGAACGCCACCACTCCGTGCAGGAAGTAGGTGTCCTTGTAGAAGAGGCACACGTCACCTGCGGGAGCGCAAGGCAAAGAGCGGCGAACGTGGACGCAGCGATTAGATTCTCTCCCACGTGCTCGTCCGATTGTGACGTCGTAGAACCGAGAAAGGGCATCAGGAGCTGTGCAGCGCAACGGTCGAAACACGGCGGAGTGGATGCAACGGTTCATTTTCTTCACGATCATGATGATCATCATCAGCCATGGTCTATCCACTGCTGGGCGGACGCCTCTCCAAGCCACCATCTCTCAAGGACTCGCGATACGACAATCCGCCTGGCACCTGCACACGAGCCGGATGTCATCGCTCCATCTCGGCGGTGCTTGCCGCCTCCTTCGCCTGCCAACTCAACCACTGCCAATGACCCCTTCCTGCGACGGGTCCAGCCCAAGCGCGCTAAACAGGCAAAACGTCTCTCTAATTCGCGTGTCTTCGCTTATCCCTGCTCCTCTACCTCAGCGTAATTTAAATCTGGACCCCTCTCCATTTCTCCATGCACACTTTTCATCTTTCCCATATGAACCCCCACGCATGAATTCGATGTTTCTTATCCGTTAGCCAGGGCCGGCAAATCCACTCCGCTGCGCGGACATCTGTCATGCAGAGATTGTGTCGACCTCGCCCTCTACCGGTGCGTGGCGCCTGCTGCAGCCAACACGCAGAATGCTGTTTCCTACGTTGCAATTTACGCAGGAGGATTACAACGCCACACGAGAGGTGAGCTCACGGGCTCGTCGTGGCCACGTATCGAGAGCTGAGCCAGTAGCAGAGGTCGCAATCGGGTACCCGATACCCGTACCCTTCCCGATACCCGGCCGGGTACGGGTAGCCGGGTATCGGGTAGGGTACGGGTACCCGATTGCCACCCTGGTGCGGCCGGGTACGGGCAAGGAATCAAAACCCGTTTGCGACCTCTGGCCAGTAGTAGCAGCTAGAATGTCAGTCCACGCGACCCGCCACGCTCCGTGTTTTCGGACGTACCTATGTACTCCCAATTCAAACTCTGTACAAATCAACTCGTCCCACGCTGCACGCGCTCGATGGTTGTTCCGCGTGATACAGGCAGCGCTAATACTGGTAGGAACCTCCTGGTTACACCAGCCCACAGGGGATTATTGTGTCCGTCCGTTCGTCGTGCATCCAAAAATTGGAGGGGTGGGGCTGGGTGGAGAGGGGAGGGTGGGGAGGGTGGGGCTGGGTGGGGGGTGGGAGGGGTGGGGCTGAGTGGGGAGGGGCTGGTCACCCCGTGGTGCCCTTATAAAACTCAACGTTTAACCTACTCACGCCGGCTTGTGCCCGCCCTCACAGTCGGGCATATTTGCGGAATACACCACGCCGCCGTTGACCCTGGCCATTGACCGAGCAACCCAACGTTCCTACCAGCTCCCTCCGCAGGAATGTGTTTGCTTATTTCCGTCACGTGGGACGTGATAAACAATCATCGGGTGCGAGCAGCGTGGAAGGCTTTAATTTGTATTTGACTTGGGAGAAAAAATGGTAACCGCGAAAAGAGAGAGGGTGGTGGTTCGCGCCGGCTGGCGCTTTGGAAAGCCTCACCTAAGATCCAGGGTGCTAACAGCGTATCTGTCATGATTTTGAATGCATATTGGCCAGATCAGGGGTCGGCAACCTTCGGCTCCGGAGCCGCATGCGGCTCTTCAAGGCATGCGGCTATTCAAGGTATGCGGGTCTTCAAGGCATACTTCGTGTCGTTATTTGCATGCATTGCGGCTCTTCAAATATTGAATTTGTTTGACTCAATTCGAAAAAATGGCTCTTCGAGTTATTTTTGTTGCCGACACCTGGGCTGTTCGATATGAGCTCAGTGCAGGTCGCCCTTGCAAAATAAGTAAATGTGTCTGGATAGGTTTGTATCATCTGATTTAAATAAAGGATAACGTTTCAAGTGTATAAATTAGTTTTTTTTTTAATTAACCGGACAGGAGAAGTCTCATTTTGAATGGTGACTTGTGTCAGCAACATCACAAAAGCTAAACAAAACTTTAAAAAGATAAAGTACATTAATGCAGTAGGGGGGGGGGGGGGTCACACAGAAGAGCTGGCTGGAGTCTTCACAAGGATTTTCAACCTGTCTCTGGAACAGTCCACCGTACCAACCTGCCTAAAGTCCTCCACCATAGTCCCGCTGCCCAAAAAAACCCACATTTGCAGCTACAACGACTACCGGCCAGTAGCACTCACGCCAGTGATGATGAAGTGCTTTGAAAAACTGGTCCGGAGTCACATCATAGGAAGCTTGCCCCGAAACCTTGACCCCCACCAGTTTGCCTACAGAGCGAACCGATCCACGGAGGACGCCGTGGCCACAGCACTACATGCTGCACTGTCACACCTGGAGCAGCAGGGGAGCTATGTGCGGATGCTCTTCGTGGATTACAGTTCTGCGTTCAACACCATCCTCCCACACAAACTGGTGGAAAAACTGGGCGACCTGGGGATTCCACATCCCACCTGCATGTGGATATATAGTTTCCTCTCGGGCCGCAGACAGAGGGTCAGAGTGGGCCGTCATACATCCACAGCCCTGAGCCTCAGTACCGGCTCCCCCCAGGGCTGTGTACTGAGCCCCCTGCTCTACTCCCTCTGCACACATGACTGTGCTGCCGTCCACCATAGCAACACCATTGTGAAGTTTGTTGATGACACCACAGTGGTGGGGCTCATCTCTGGGGGGGATGAGTCTGCCTACAGGGACGAGGTGGAGCGGCTGACAGCATACTGCAGGGGCAACAACCTGCTCCTTAACACCGCAAAGACCAAGGAGCTCATAATAGACTACAGGAGAAAGAAAACGGACACTCCACCACTAATCATCAGCGGGGACTGTGTGGAGAGGGTGGCAGACTTCTGCTTCCTGGGAGTCCACATTGGGGAGGGCCTGACCTGGAGCGCCAACAGCACTGAGCTTCTGAAAAAGGCCCAGCAGAGACTTTACTTCCTGAGAATTCTCAGGAATAATAACATCACACAGAAACTGCTGGTGTCCTTTTACCGAGCCTCCATCGAGAGCATTCTTACATACTGCATCTGTGTATGGTACACCAGCTGTACAGTGGCTCAGAGGAAAGCGCTCCAGAGGGTCATCAACACAGCCCAAAAGATCGCCGGCTGCCATCTCCCCACACTGGAAGAACTACACAGTTCACGTTGCATCAAAAAAGCACAGAACATTATAAAGGACTCTTCTCACCCTGGACACTCACTGTTTGAGCTGTTGCCATCAGGCAGACGATTCAGATCAGTCAAAACAAGGACAAACAGATTCAAACAGAGCTTTTATCCTACAGCGATCACCACACTCAATAATGCTAATTAATTATTAAGTAATAGTGTTTACAATTGATTGTGAAATAGAGATGTGCAATGACAAAATGTAACCTTATGTGGGTATGTGGGTATACTTGGGCTGTTTTTATATATAGTATAAATTGATTATCTTTCATTTAATTTTATTTTTATTTTCTTGTTTTATTTAATTTAAATTTATGAATGATGCCCTGACTGGTGAGCATTTAAAATTTCGTTGTACTGGTGACAATGACAATAAACGAGCTATCTATCTTAGAGGGCCCTATAACGGTCTTGGGTTTTTTGTTGGGGGACCCATGATACTAAATAATGGGGGGCCCACGATACTAAATAATGGGGGGCACACAAGGCATTCTGCACGGGGCCTCCATCGTCAACCACGGGGCACTGCCAGTGGCTCGGAGATGTGAACTACCTCGCCTGGTGCACAGGAGGCCCTGGGATCAACCCCGACGCCTCCTCCCCGTGGTCACGTGAAATCTTCTCCGGATCCTCCAGGTTTTCCCTCCACATTGAGAATCAACGTCACACGAGTCTTTGGCTGCTATACATTGCGATAAGCTACACGATAAGCTACTTCGTTGAGCCATCGTTTGTAACCAGGTCATTTCTGAAAAAGACCTTACTAGCTCAGTGGGCCTTACCTAGTCAAATAGCAAAATTTTGTTTGTTCAAACAGACTCCATAAAACATGTTTTTGGGTTAGATCACGTAAATATAAATATGTCATTAAACCCGCCACCACCCGGCGCAGCCAATTAGTACGGTGTGTCACGTAAATAGAACATGCCAAATCCGAGTAATCAGATTGTAAATGTTGTGGATATGCTCTCCAACACAGCGGTGTGCTGTACTAGGAACGAATTGACAATGTTCTGTTTACGTAACAAACCTTTCTAATTGGCGGGTTTAACGACGCATTTATATTTACGTGATCTAAGGGGCCGTCCATAAATGACGTCACGCGATTTTGGACGATTTTTGACCCCCCCCCCTTCGTCACACGGCGTCACAAAAGTCAGACCCCCCCCCTCAAATATGACGTCACAAAGCTCTGCCCCCCCCCCCCCCAAATAAAACATGCTTCGAATTGCTTTAAACTATTGTCATTGTAGTACGTATTTAATGTGGCGCTGCACTCTGATGTTGTCGGAGAAAACATTTATTAAAAAGTCTAATTAAGTAGAACGTGTTTTCTATATTTATTTAAAGTTGCACATTTCGATGTCACCTCACATTTCTCAACCCCCCCCCTCGTCACACATCGTCACAAATGTCTGACCCCCCCCCCCCCCTAGGTGCGTGACGTCATTTATGGACGGCCCCTAACCCAAAAAACCCTTTAAATAGCCTGGCTTGCCTATTTGAGGTTGAAGAGAGAGAGAAGCAGACGGCCACTCTGTGGTGCCGCGGTCAGGCCAGAGGAGGGAGCTGTGGGCGCAGTTTGACGGCACCAGACTTAACAGTTTGTCTCGACATTTGTTTAATCGCCACGGTTTGGTGGCCCAGCGCACGAGAATAACACGCTGTATAACTGCGTTCGGCCATTTGTCAATCCACTGCTCGGTGTTAGCCTCCCCACGCCGTGTGTGTCGTGAGGGTTGTTTGACCATACTTCCCCAATGCCAATATTTAGACACCACTGAGTCGATCTATGGGAGGCCTAGGACTGATATGAGCTCT